GAAATACGATGTAAAGTAACCCATATCTTAGAATTTTTGGAGCATTAACGCCATTATTTGATGGAGTGATAGAGATGCTGGCAAGAATGAGTAAAGGAGAAAGGGGAATGTCATGAAGCACATGTCAGCTTTGATGCTGCAATTGTGTTGAACGCACCTTTGGCTCCGGGTCACTCTTTGAAGCAAAACTTCCCGGAGCAAACGTTTAAATTGCAAACTTGGAAGCAGAACATTTATTTGTTCTGGCAGAACTATTCAATCTAATGCCAATGGCAATTTGATTTAAAATTAGACACTTGCATGTTATTTTCCATCCCTCAAAAATATTTGTGGGACTGTGCACACATTCCTCTCATGATGTTGAGTCATTTCCCCCCCTAGTGAGTATAAATGCTTATTTCAGAGACCCTGCTGGTCAATGTGGCAAGGATTTGTGTGGGCAGAAACTTTAAGAGAGTCAAGAGAGCTGTTTTAGGCGAGCAGCAGAGGCCACAGCAGGTCTTCTGCCTCCTATAGGTGTTTTTACATGGCAGAATTTATGTATTACTTACTAACCACAGTGTTGCTTAATTCTAAACACCTCTGCATGGTTGCAGGTGTCAAGCTAGATTTAGCATATATCATATAATGGTAAGTGATTAACTAAAGCCTGAAATGTGACCTTTTGTTGTCAAAATGCATTAAATGAAACTTTTGAGAAAACAGTGCAGCAGTGTTTAAAATATTCATCTACTTGTTGTTGGAGTCCCTGTGTTTCTGCTCATTAAATGTTTCCAGTCAGAAAGATGATAAGGATGCAGGGTTAATGCGGCTTGGCACAGGGTTTTATTTGTGCAGAGGTGCAGAAGTCCAGCTCCTCTCCTCCCTCTGGAGATGCAGAGAGTGGAGTGGATTCAGTAACAGCACAGTGAGCAGTGAGACGATAGAGGAGAGTTTACAATATAAAGCAAACAGGCATGAGAAAGAGAACTGACCCTTTTTATGATGGCCATTTCAAAACTGCAACATCATACTGTTGTTGTTTAAATATCAAAATCTGTTTTGTCTTTGAGTCTTTTTTTGTAACTACTAACAGAGTACTTTAAATTAACGCTGCATCAGCATAGCTAACATATTGCTATGTAAATATTTTTTTGTGAGGTCACTATACACAAAGTAGAGTTGCAGTTCCAGTGCCATCACTGTGAGCTGTCTATTAAGAAATTAGTGTTATTGTGAAAAATGATTGATTAGTAGGGAGCACTGTGCCTTAAGGAGATCCCTTATCTATTTCTTTCTCGTTATCAAAGTATGGAAACTAAGTGAAATGTCCCAAAAAGAGCATCACTTTATGCGTGGTGGTGCTGTCATGTTTTTACACAGCATGGACATATCCTGCATTTAAAATGCAGCTGCCTTTCAGGTAGTGTCTAATATGCATCAACAACTGTGTGCCCAGATCCCTTACTGAGTCCTCTCTGGAGCAAGCTCTAGCCCATTTCTTTGTTTTCTCTTTTACTTCTCATCGGTCTATGTGCTAGTTCCTTGTCATAACAGCCAGTTGTAAATTATTGTAATGTTCCTTTAACACTGTTTAATTACTTTTTTTTTTGCAATGCTGCATGTTAACACTAAATTAAACTCATTAATGGGCTCCATTAATTTTAGCCTGAAGATTCTTTGCATTTAAACAGTTATGCTAAATAAGACTCTGTAACAAATCTGGTCATTGTGTGATTACTATGATGCACACCACTGATTAAGCACAATTATTTGTATGTGAGTCAGCACCAAGCCTGCTGTCTTTTTAGGGAGGGCTATTGACCCTATCATGGACACGACCTGCTAAGAGAAGCAGCCTTCTCTTATCTGCATGCCCTTGGAGTATGCACACATTGATATGCCACTGTGACTCTATCTTCATGCCAAGATGCTTCCAATTATGCGAGCCGCCGGAGTGAGGCAGAGCATGGATTTCTGTACGATGAAAACTGGTCCATGGGTGATGTGATCCTGCTGTTTCTTACCGAAATAGGGTTGTTTTCTGCACACAGATGGGGGAAGTTAAAGAACAGCCAATTTCTTCCTTAACACCTACGTGTTTCCCTACAGCCTCATGACCCCATATGATACCAATTTATTTAGCAAATGGCTGAATAGCAGGGCCTTCCAGCGGAGCATCACATGTAAGACTTTTCACATTGACATAAGTTCCAGGGCTATCAGTCTTTCTCTAAATACCTCTCCCCCAGAGGCATGAAGTGGCCAGGCAGTCCAGCTGATGTGACCTGTCCAGGCAGCCCTGTGGCTGACAGCAGGCTGTCACTCAACTGAAGCAACAGGCGAAATATTGGACAATCAATGGATACAAGATATAGACCAGCTAATGAAAAAGCTTTTCATCTTAAAAAACATCTCCGACTGTTGGTAGTTTGGAAACTGCCTGAGTGGTAAAGGGTCCTCGCCACACTTTTGTTTTCAATGTTATGCTTTCAGCTAAATTCTATGAATTTGGTTTTCCAGAAGAGGGCAGCACATCTTTACCAAAAGACTTTGGGTTTAAAGCGCTGATGTGCAATTCCCTGAGGAGGAGACGCATGCAGACATAGTTATAATCTCGAATCTTTCCATGTGGAAAAGAGCAGAACATGCCACTCATTCAAATTCTCGTCTCTTTCATCTGATCCTCCCTTTTTGCCTATTTAAAAAAAGAAGTGATTCATGTACAAGCATTGCTTGTGAAATGCACTGATTTATGAAAAATGCACATTACAATTAACATAAGACTTGAAAACCGTTCCAATTGTGATGCCGCCGCCTTTCTTTGCCCTGACTTTGTGCCTCCTCTTTGCTCCCGCCTCGCATCAGTTTTTCGTTTCCCCCCTCTCCCTCTTTTTCTTCTGCTCCACCCTATAATCACGCCGGTTCATGGCTCTCATTTGGAGTGGTATATATAGCAGTAATTGTCAGGGTGCAGTACAGAGTCTGGACCAAGTGTGTGTACTCTCTCACAGGGCTGTTTTGCAGTAAATCTCTACGTGACGAGGAGAGGATTGGGGTGTGGAAGAGCTGGGGGTTATGTACCTGTGTACCAACATGTACACACATAAAGACCATTTTATCTAAAAAATGCCAATGCCAAAGAAACACCAAAAAGCCCAAGGGGAACAAGATTACATTTTACCGGCCCATTCATTGATTAAATACATTTGCAAGCATTCATGCTTCAGTTATAGACCACTGACTTTTCATTCATTATCTTAGTAAGAAAATTGAGTGTTTTTCTGTCAAAAGAATTGGACTCTCAAACAACTGCATCTATCATGTAGGGAGGCCTCTATCAATAGGTAAACATTTACAGCCCCAGGTGATGAGCTCATGTCAGGTTGTCTGCTCACAATACCTGAAAGATGCACACACATGCACAGCTATTTACACAGGCAAATCACTTAAGGAGAAAAAACATTCAAACATTTTCAAATCAGGTTTATGGATTAAAAATCCCCAACTGTCCATGTCACATACAATAAAAAAAAGTCAGTGGAGACATTCCTGCTCAGTAATCTGAAGTTAGATCACTGAAATCCCTCGTTGTGTCTGGCTTCTGTATAAATTATGGAACACTGCCTCCAAACAAGATGACGACAAAACTTGTCAGGTCATCAGGTTGTTTGTGTGTGTGCTTGTCTGGGTGGGGGGAGGGTACCTCGTAGCTTGTATGGACAGGTCTGTCATTCAGACAGCATACACATACACCATTGTGGAGCTGTCTGTGGTCCCCTTTGGGGTAGGGTGGGGTGGCAGCAGGCCTCCTGAATAAAAACACGTGCTGCACGCAGGAAGTGGGCCCAAGAGGAGAAAATGACAACTGTGCGGCCATGAATTTATGAATGGACCGTCTACATATTTCCTCACCCCTTTCTTTCCAGAGATTTCTTAGTTTCTATTATCTCAACATAGTAATCAAGTTTGCCTGGCTTTCATTTCAAGGCCTACAATTCAACAATGCTAGAGCTAGCCTTCCTGGACATGTGTTCGAGTTGTAACAGACAAAATCACATTCTCTTAGAGCAAACTGTAGATGCTGATTTCTGCCAGCATAAGATCACTGAGATCAATTTCAAGGTAGTGGCATGCTTCTAGGCGGCAAATAGCCATTTCTCTAGCTTTAATTTTTGATTGAAATCTCATCTGTCCATTTCCTATAATCTGTTCAGGGTCACTGGAGCCTATCCCAGCTGCCACAGGGTACAACAACCCTGCGTCCCTCTGTTAGAGTTTAAATGCATTGACAAATAACTGTGCACACTCATACTTAACTTCACGTTAAACTGAGAAGCCCCAGTTAACCCAATGTACATGTCTCTGGACTGTGGATCGGAGCAAACTAAGCATCTATAATAAACTCATGTTAATGGACATTCTGTGCTCAAAGTTCATGAAAGGATCAGGACTGCATGTGAGTACACATGATGAACCCAGGTGCTCCGCTTTCAAGTGTTTCTTTCCTGTTTGCTCGGCAGCTGTTTCATCCCAGTGAGAGACCACTTCACAGCTCCACTGTTTTCTTTCTGGGTGGATTTGTCAGCTGTGATCAAATCAGACTTTTGTTGAGTGTAAATTTTCTTTCCAGACATGGCTGATTACTCCACCCAGTTCTACCAGACCTGATATGCTCGAGTTCAGTCATTAAATCTTGGACACTTTTGTGTATTTTTGTTACTGGAGAAGTGAAGCAAATTCTCGGTTCCCAGGAAAAGCAGTATTTGCAAAGGGTTTATTCGCAGAACAGCAAACAACTTGAAAGGTTTGTCTTTAAGTAGACAAGTTCCTAATGCTCATAAGCCTCTAAGGCATAAGTGCATCAAAAGCATTGGTAACCACTTGTTCCATTTATTTCCCTGGAGTCAACTTCCATGTATAAACCTGGACAACAGGAAAAAGCTGTATAAAGCAGTCAGAGATAAACTTAAAACCATTCAAGTGTAGTACTTTCTGAAGTGTTCTTCAATGTTTTGACGTTTTTTTGGTATGAACATGTCAATCTATAACAGCATGTTTATGTTTTTTTTGCACAGCAGTTCTACACTGATTATCATCAAATATTGTACTGTGTTGTGTTTTAACAGCAAGAATGAAGCAGGAAGGACAGTTAAGTATGAGATAAAATTTTATTGATTCACAGTAATGATGAATGAATGGATTGTTGTTTGACTCTGACGCAGCCAGTGTGTATCCACTTATCTGAAAATCCCTAATGGCAGAAATGTAACACAGCTTATCACCATCGTTCCTGAAAGCCTTACCAGTAAAACAAAAAAACAAAACGAAAACAAAACAAAACATGTGGGTACAGATTGGTCTTTGTAATTGCTGATGAAACAGCTCCACTTGGTGTCATCACAGCTAAAAGATAACTAAATCACATCATGTGAAATGTATATTTGTTTTACTATTGAGATGAGGTCAAAGTCCCTGAGAGCACAGCTTTTTATGAAAATGATTATGACTGCAGATAAGCGCAATTAGGTCACACTCTCAGCTTTAAATACAAAAAAAGCACAACTGGCCATTAAATTATTAAATCCCAGAACTACGCTCGTAGCATGGGTAGTGTTACAGTAAAATCAGGAAAATTAGTCATATTAACATATGGAGAGGCTTGTAATTTTAAATAACATAGAACAGACTGCGATAATGTGTCAGCCAAAGAGCAAAAAACAACAGAAAAGCACATCAGCAACATTTAAACTCAGAATTTATGGTATGTCTGACGTTAGTTCTATCTAAAATTGTTGTTAAATCTCCTACAAAGAGCCAGAATCACCAAAACCCTCAGAAGGGTTGAGAGAACACTCAAGAAAAATCACTTCAGTCTACAGCTGTCTTTATGGCTGATGAGTCCTGTCCACTATGAAATAACAACAACAAAAAACTACTTGTCCAACCACTAAGACCAGAAATCAAACACATCAAACAGATTAAAGATAGAGCGACATCTCTAACTCATGTTCCACGCTGTAAATGAATTGGACTTGGATCATCATACCTATTTAGAAAAGTGTAGACAGGTACAGTACATTTTAGAAGGCCTGGCTTTAGGAAAAATAAGCCCACTGTTTACTTTGTTGAAGAGTGAATGTAGGAGTTTATTTTTTCTCCCAGACAAACATGTTGTTTTCGTTGGGGGGCGGAAAAAGCCAGCCTGTGGTCTCTCTATGACTGTCTGCAAAAAAAAAGCCATTTTTGTAGTAAAAACTTTACATCTACACAAGTCCTTCAACAAACATTCTCCCTTTTGTCGTTCTCTCAGAACACCGTCTTCATTTTCAAATCTCTCAGAAAATGTGAATCTGCCTTGTAATTTGTGAAAGGATGGAAATTCAGATTCTTGCCCTTTTCATGATTATAAAAGCAACAATTCCATGCTGTTTCTTTATAAAGCACATACTTGAGCCTCGCTCGTAACCTTAACCTTAAGTCTAACCAAACAGACGTAATTAAAAGGCTTTTTATATGCTCTCAAAACCCAGCCTGCCTGTCTACCACAATGCTGTGGTTTTGTCAGGCCATTTTTCCCTCCCATCAGAGAGGCTGGAAGAGAACTGGGCAGTTACAATTGTTTTAATGATTAGAACAAAATAAATCAACAATTATCAATCTGCCTGAAAGAACTGCCCTCTAACTACTGGATGAAGTATTTTCCTTTCACGTTAATTATGCGATACTAAAGAATATTAATTTTCAATCAAAAGTTAGATAATCTATAACTGAGCATGCTGCATAAGTGTGAATTCAGTGAATAAATAAAGTAATACAGTACAGCATAAATAGCACATTTAAAATGAAAACTAAAGACAAATCTTACATTTCAGTTTCCAAAATGTAAAAAAATAGTCATATTAGATAAACATCCTAGACTGTTAATTTGCCAACTGATTGAATGGGAGCTAAACCTTGAATACTGATGTTAATAAAGTGCTTTCTTTCAAAACAATAAACTGACCTCTGGTTAATTAAAATGTGAAGCACTACTACTCTTAAATAGAATTATCATTTTGTTAAAGCCAAAGCGATACTACAGTAACAAACGGCCTGTTAAGGAAAAGCACCCAACATATCATCCGACACTCTGAGAGGTTAGTTAAACATAATAGAAAATAGTGTTGTTGTTTTTTAAGAGCACCTAAACGCAACTAATGTTGAAATGCAATCATTTCAAATGAGGCAACTGCGGAGTTCAATCCAAATTTTGAGACATTTATGGTAGTGTATGCAAACTGTGGCCTGGAATGCGATTTTCCAGCACTGTCAGGCTCCCTGTCGGAATTCTGACATACGTTACAGTAACCTTAATGTCTTGGCGTGTGCATTTTTAGTTACATTTTTCAGTTATTAGTAATCCACATTCACAAAAATCTGAAGAGATAAAATATGTATCCATAACCTTTTCCTTTAACTAGAGCTTTAGAACATATTGAGACAAGTGTCAGCCGTTCCCCCCGACACTTGATGCTTCAACAGTTGTTGGAGATGAAATGAAAGTCTTTGAGATTGTTGCTGCGGTGGCATGAATTGCTCATCAGTATTTTGTCCACATCAGCCAAGTAGAGGAGCAGAAGGCCTTTTGATTCCTAAGGTCTCAAATCGACCCAACCCTTCCTGCATAGTCTGTGTGCCCCTCTGGAAGGCCTTTGCACTGTGATGGGCTACACAAAGTTGTTGGTGATTTGCCTCTGGTGCTCGAACAAGTCTTCAGTCTCTGCACTGTAGGCGTCACCTGTAGAATAAAATAGATTAACGGAAATTAAACTGAGGCGTATGAGAATTCTAAGGGGGTTTGAGATAGATGACGCATCCATCTGCCCTCACCTGCATGACAGCCATACATATAAGCTCGGTGGCCATCGTATTTGCACCGACATCTCATGACATTGTTCATAAAGTCAGACTCAGCCATGTCCATCGAGGGGTTGACTTCCACCTGTAAGATAACACAACCATGCATCACGTCTTTCACTGTTGGTCTCACCTTCAGCTGACCATATCCATGAGTAAACAGTGAATAAGATTCCTCTCTGCTAACTGGCAAAGCCATTTTACATAAATAGCTGCCGCATGTAAAATTGTAAGAGGGGCTGTTATTAAACAGCCCTTGTGGCTGGAATTGTTTTTATAGTCAATCTGCTTTTCATCCATGAAAAGATGACTGAATGACTTTTCCATACAGGCTTGCCATTTGGGAAGATAAATGCGCTGTTCTCTACTTTCTCATGAACTAGGACCTCATGGAGCTGAAGCTGGAATGATGTTCGCTTGGTAGTCTGTACGGGCTGAGTGACGTGCAGCAGTAAAACACTTGTTTTTAGTATGTGTTATGTAAAGCATGAAAGACACTGGTAGAACTTTAAGGGAATCTTGTAAAAAACTATTTATACCAAATGCAAAAACAACAAAGTGAATAACAATGCATGGTAGTGGGTTGATTATGGGGTCATGTGATTTAACAGTTCACAGATTCTTGATTATGCAAGGTTTGGGGGGTTTTGCAGAGGAGAAATGTGCTGTGCTCCTCACACAGACGTTAACTTGCAAAAATAAAATCTGGAATAAAAAGTACGTTGCAACAGAGTAGTTATATATAAATCTGTTTTGCCATATGTGTACAAATACTGTGTCATTTGCAGAGCAGTTCTGTAACTGCTGATACAACCATTCTCTTAATCTAGCCAAGTGATAATACTGAGAAGCCATTTACTCTAATAGCTGCTCTGCAAACTGCTACACCCATTTTAAGTACAGGTTCCAAACAACTTCAGGGAGAAAGAAGGCAAGCAAAACTAAAAAAAGGAAAAATCCTTAAAAATAAACAGAATGAATGCACAAAAACTGTCCCTTCATTTTTCTGTGTAAATTACAGTGTTGGACCGGCGCATATATGAGGGCTGGCTCAGCAGCAGAATGCATCGTTCGGTGATAAAAGCGTTTGTAAAAACTAAAAAAGGCCAGGAGAAATTCCTCTGCGGAAAATTAGCCGAGACTAGGTGCTGTTTGACTGAGGGGCGGCAATGGTTAATTTGGAGAAATTGCTGTGTTTCATTATCACTGGGTGGTTGCCGAGCGTGCCTGGGAAGCCCTGACTCAGAAAAGTCACCGGTATTATCTGCACTTTGTTTCATAAAGAAAAGAAAATGGTGGAGAGAAGAAGGGACGTTGTAAAAACCTTTTGCATTTTTCCAGTTCTGCAGCCTTGATAAATAACTGTCAGTGCTTTGCTTGTTCTGTTTTTTTTCTCGTTCCTGCTCTTCTTAGTTGTAGTTCTCTTTGGTGCTGATATGACTGAACTTTTCACCTCATAGTTCTTTAAATTTCTTGCTAACATTATCTAAAGCACTTTTCTCCCCACCTCTCTCATTTATCTCTTTCTTGTGCCTGTATACTGAGCTATACCAAAATACGGGTTTATAATTATAACCCACTCCGCACTCTTGAAATACATCGAGTAGTCAAATGCCTTTAAACTTGAGTGTGACCCATCACTTATGAAAAAATTAAATCAACGGGTCTTCGGTGGTGAGTAGAGAAGTGTTAATTACAAAGATTCAGTGTGACCTCTCAGACAGCAGCAACTGTTGCCAGTCTCCCACAGCTTGGAAGTAATTAGCAGTGGGGCTAAGATCTGAAGTCTGCCACATACCACGGTGAGATCAAGGGTCTGACGTGAAAATAGAGGATTCTGGGGGATGGAGTCTTTGATGTGTTTTAGTCTGCAAACCACAATGAGTGGACTCCACAAAGAAATGACAAACATGTGAAAGGCTGAGGTGATGATTGTGATGATGAAGGTTAACAGGTTTTACTGAAATAGAAATAGAAACCCCAACCAGCCATGAGGAGGTCCACCTTGGGCCTATAAACTTCTTTCTCCTTCAAGCCTGATTTCTAGTCTTCAAAGACCAATAAAAACGTTGGTGAGTGCCTATGAATTTTGCAGTTAGATGAGAAGATTAATAATCATTTTACCTTTGTATGTTAGGTATTTGGTAGTCTGCTAGTTTGGCATGACAGAAAGACAATGGACAGGAACAACCAGCAAGAAATGGAAAGCTAACTTATACACATTGACATTTTATGGTTCCATACAGGTTATGTTGCAGATTTACAAGAGAAGTTACCAGAAATGTATTAATGCATTAAATAATCTATAACTTATAGCTAATCTATAGTGAGTGTTTCTATGTGAAGTGAGAAGTCCATATTTTTACATTAGAATGCAGTAAACTCAAAAGAACGGGACATGGGATTAAATATTTGGACAGTCAGACTCTTGCAAAATCAAGTGAGGTCACAACAAAAAATGGAACAAGGAGAATTACAAATTGTCCTCTGACCTGGAAGATGTAGTCACCAGGCCGTACATCTGTCACGTCAACCCACTGACAATCAATGTCATGGCGATAAGTGTCCCAGCAGCCGACCGAGATGCCCTGATCACCCATGTTGTAGCAGGAGAATCGCTTCTGGAGTCCTAATGCACATGAACGCACATGCCAACATCTCTATCAATCACACCATCAAAGCTCATTTAATGCTTGACACCCCCAGTTATTTTAAGAGCCTTTAGCAGTCTTTTTTCATGTTAGATATTTTATCCATGACATAACAACAAAATGGACAGTGCACAAACAACCACATTAACCACAAAGTATTACTTTGAATAGCTGCAGCTTAATTATTAATGCTTATTCTTGCCACAATATATAAAGACTGCATTGGAGGGACTCAGAATAATGATGAATGTTACCATCAGGGCAGTACGTGTCCTCCAGACAGAAGCTGGCCTTGTGCCCCTCTGCAACTCTTGTGCCATTCAGAGTCAGCAGGTCGTAATGTGTGAAAACCTCGATGCTGTGGTAGTGCCTGAGACGTCAGAGGGGAAAGTCCAGGTGAGAGTGTGTATCTGCTGAGTATGTGCATTTACGCTAACAGAACACTGGCTCCCTATGGCTCATAACTTAATGACCTCATTGCTTGAACACGAGCATGGGTGTCTCCACAACACCTCATACAGAGGCTTGTTTTAGCACCAGCTCGGTTGGGCTGTTTACCCATTTTAAGTGAATGGCTGGCTTTGAAACTCCCATCCTTAGCTCTGATATGCTGTAATAAACTGAAGCAGACTTGACTTTGCATGGTGTCCCTTGTATGACACTCGACCTGGCATGGCTTCGACCGGTTCAAACTGTCATTTCCAGAGACATAATCCTGAATCTGAAGACGTCACAACACAGCTTCAGGCTTCCCAATAACACACAGTCTCCTGTGTCTAACATCCATTTTGCATGCTACCTGCACCATCAAGCTGTTCGCATGTTTTCTTTCCTCGCAGCAATTAAAAACAATTACGTTCAACATAACTCAAACTACTCAGCACAGTCGGGGCTATGTCATTAATCAACAGAGGTGTTTCATAAAATAAAAATATGCATGTCATGAAATGGGAAAACACTAGCAATGATAACAATAATCATCATAATAATGATAACACCTAAGAAATCAATCTTAATAGTATTTATACGTTTTTTTCCAACACAAAAAACTTCACACTTAAAGATGTGAATCACTCCCCCCTCTCTTTTGGAATGCCATACCTGTGGCACTGGTGCCATGTCCAGCTTTCTTTCGATGCTTTGGGCCTAAAATCGGAGCGTCCCATGTTCATAATGCGTGAGGAGAAGCGCAACAGGCGCCGGTGGCCATATGGCCAATTCATCCTGGCAGCAGAGGATGATAGACAGTTCTCTTCATTGGCACAAGTCAGCAAGTGGAGAGGTCGGTCTTCCAGGTATGCCGTCTCCTGGACCAACTGAGCATCCAGAACAAGATCTGGGGCCGCTGAAAGGGAGTCGGATGTAAGATGATGTTAAGCTGAGAGTTATCACATGTGGTGAGAAATGACAAACTGCATGGAGATGGCTAACGTACTGTCTGAGCAGCTGACCCCAGCAGCTTTAGTTCCTCCACCACGAGGACAGTGGACATGATTGTTTCGACGACATTGTTGGATTGAAAGCTCAGTGCCCACGCAGTGAGATCCACTGAGAATCAAATCACTTGCATTCGCGTTGCCAGTCCAGTACCATGTCTCCTGTCAGAGAAAAGGTGTGGGGAGGGGATTTGGAAAGCTTGTCAGTTTTTCTATCACTGCGTAGAGCCATAGCTGATTACATAGTGTAGTAAATACAGGGGCTGTAACTATAGATTGGTCTCCAAGGGTTCATTTAATTCTCTCATCAATAACTCAGACAATGCTGATGGGATTTTGACAACTCCTGGAGGAATGATACCTCTGCCCAACCTAGCCTGTCATTTAAAAAATGACACTGATTGCTTCAAAATTGGGTGTGCACTTTTTGTTAAAAAAAGTTAGTGACCATACTTTTTGAGATTAAAATGACATTAAAAAGGTTATTAAATGGTTACCTGATGAGCACTGGCAGCAAAGCCAAAGCCGAGCTGTCTGCACACCACCATGGCCTCGTTAATGCCCCAGTTTTCACTACACACAGAGCCCCAGCGCTTACGACCACCGACGTCCATCAACACCTCGACACGGCCTTCTGATGGGACTCTGCCACCAGCTAGCCGCACCTGAACATCCATCAAATCAAAGTTAAATGGGAAAACATTTACCTGTGAGAGGCTTGTAAGAATTTTGGAAAGATTTGCCGTGTTATACCGTCTTCTCTATGCCAGTCTTGGGAACATTGCAGCGTACTGAGGCATCTTGGCTGTGTTTGAAAGTCCACGGTTGGACTTCTTGGAAGTAGCAGTCCAAGATGGAATGTTCTGCCCCTGTGCACTGTACATTGTTCATATGGATAGGTCCGGTACCTGAAGGGGGAAGAAAAGATGTGGTAGATTTCAATGCAGATGGCAAAAGCAAAGCAGGGGAATCTAGAGACTATAGGTGTGTGGACATAAAAGAGGGAGTTGTATTTCTTTGACTGACTGGGGCCACCCAATGTGGTGAGAATGGCATTAGAAGATTTTATCCTGCATAGAAGCACACGCACATTGAAGTAATGTTCTGTTCCCCTCAAGTGAATCACATGCATTTGTCAATGTTAGAATCAAACCACCAAGAAAAAGTGCTATCTGTAAGCTGCATCAAAAACATGTACTTCAAGCATCTGTTACACCTCATTGCACCCATTCCGTGGGCACCACAAAACAACATTGTCCTCAGTCCACCACCATGAGTGAGCAAACAAGGCCAAAGCTTAAAGTCTGCAAAAAAAAAGACTGTTATTCATTTGTCGTTTAAAGGCAGATAATCTTTAAACAACACGGAGGGTGACAGAAAAAAAAGTTAGAGATTTTGCAAACAAGTGGTGCCACAATGATAGTAAGGTATGAAAATACTGTGCAAATTATGACTTGAGTCTTTTTCTAAAACAAAAGAGTCAAACAACAAACTTGGAAATAAAGCGGTGTTGAAATAAACACAACCAAAACCATGAAGGGTGTAAAGGATGTAAAGAAAGACACTCGGGTCACCAGATTGCAGCATAACCCAGTGTGTCTCTGTGTTGGTTTAAGTAGATTGCAGGCCTGCTTTCAGACCAGTCATCATGTGTATGTATCATGGGCAGATTTTTACCACTTCCACCACTATCTGCAAAGTAAAGGCCACAAACTAGATACAATTTCCCGATGTTTAACTTATCAGGACAAAAATAATTCTGCAAAATGCTGGAACAAGCCTGATTTAAACCATAAATTCCAGGAAACCGACCACACACTATACATGAACACAAACACACAGACATAAGGCACTTTAGTCCATTACTATATGTATACAGAGTGCCCAATGTGTATGTACTTCATGGGCAAAATTACACAGTAAAACAACAATTTTGGTCAAAAAGGGAAATAGAAACACTGCCCCTGTAATTTAGCTCGCTGATGGTGATGATAAATGTAATGATGATGGCTGTTGGCAGATACAAACTGAAATGAGAAAAATATTTTAACTCATTTTCAATCTCCTCAACATCTCATTTAATGTCTGAGACTTCTATAAAAGGTTTAATGACTCATAAATGTAGCATCTTAAATCAAGTATTAACATGCAACAGGTGGGGCTTAGTTTATTATTCAATCAAATCAATTCATACAGATTAGAAAAAACATCTGGCAGTTGTCAGACCTTTTTCTAAGGGAATTACAGAATTGATCTAAGCTTAAGAATACACCTGCCTGCATATTAGAGAAAGCAAACTGAGGGACTGGTTTGACAATTAGGAAACACGAAACAACTGAGTATTTGTTAGACAGTTAGCAGAAATTACAGTAATGTGCTGTGTGTGTGTGAAACAAGAGAACACATGTATTTTGCTCAGTTTATAGCTCAAACTAAGCAGACTGTATTAGTTTTTCATTGTGTACCCATAGTTTTGGTCGTTGAAATGTAATGAATGAAAATTGTACATGAGATCAAAATAGATGGGAGAGAGTGCTGATAAATAAATACACCAACTCAGTCATATCTCTGTTCTTATCCCTCTGAGATAGTGATCAGGGAGAAATGTGATACAAATCACATAGTCTGTGCTAAAGTGGATGGGGTTATCGTTCTGCAGCCTGGTGCAGTGAAGATCTTTTTGTTCGAGCTTAACACTACTGACAGCTGAGCAATTGCACAGTGTTTCGATTACATTGTGATGCGAAAGATTAATCAATGTGACTTTTGTGCTGCCTTAAGATGGCTACACTGATTTAATGGGGAAGCTGCAGACAGATACTGTAAAAATCTCTGTAGAAAGAATGCTGCTTTATCAATCAGCGTTGTGGCTTTATCTATGTGAAGTATAGTTTTAGAAATAAACTTTATTACCATAATTATATTTGTCCCGAATGTCTATGACTGAACTCTGCAAACCCAGGGCACAAACAGAAGATCTCACATATATGTAAGATGCAAAACTGAAATTTGCAAACATAAATAAATTCCATTCAACAATGACTTTTGGTTTAATTTGTTTGTATTTATGGTTAACAACTTTCTACACCCGCTTTTTATCAACTTAACTTAAAATTCCAGCCCTTTTAAAAAATAAATAGAAATACAAAAATACTTTACTTATTCTGTATTCGGGGAAATTTAGACATTTAATGATTTTTATGATTATATGGGACTACCTCTGAGTGCTGCAGCGGTGGAGGCTGAATAAATATTTATTAAGCATTATTATAGCTTGGCATTACAAAGGAATAAAACATTTTAACCATGATTTGTCTGCTACAATCATTGGTTGCAGTGCTTAAGTACCTCCTACCGATTTATAGCTGCATGTAAGTTGATAAAGTAAGTTGACAAGTGAAAGTATGTGGAAAGTCCTGAGTTCTAGCCCCCATATACATCATGTATCTATAACCCCAATCTCGGCTTAGTGCAAATGCTGAATAAATGTCCTCAACCTGAATCTGTTTTCAAAACTTTGATTTTTAATACTAAACGTAACCTCATTTTAAGATAGTTGTTTCAAACCAACCTATTTTAAATGTTTTCACATGCTCAGTAGGTGGCTGGTGGGTGAAAGTAAGATGCCTCAGTTTTAGTTAATTTTTCTGCATTATATTAATTTTTGTTGGACAAGTGCAGACAAATCATCAGAGCCTCACTGGTTTCATCTTGTACATATAGGAAAAGCAAATTTCAAGCTCTGGTAGTAATGAGTGTAGATCTGGCTGCATTAGTTGTGCTACAACGATAAAACATAAAGATATAAATCCGTAAATCATGAAACTGTTTACATGACAGGAGAAAAAACATATCTTATTGTGCTGGTCTGAACAAGACTGGTCTAAACTGTGCAAACCAAAAACATCTGAAAATCAGATTAATAATCCCAGATAAAGAGGCTGTGACAAACCCATTGGCCAAGATTATCTAGGATTTTGAAGGAAAAGTTTAACCATGTGCAACTCAACTCAACTGTGCAGGGTACTGTGCTGATTACATAGGAGGACAGAGACCAAACCCTTCAGATGAAGCCACAGGGAAATACTTGCCAATTTCAAACACGTATCTTGCTGAGATTCTGCTCAGCTCTGTACATTTGGACATAAAGAGCTGAAGTAACAACACTTGAAAAGAGAGTTTGTGTTAAGAGAGCAACAATTTCATCCGTCAAATCAAAATTAAGGCTCCAGAACCACTTATTAATGTTCAAAAGACTGAAGCTGAATCTGTTACCACACATGAAACACACAGGCTAGATTGTGATACATGCACAGATGTAGCTTTGTGGTTAAACCAAGAAGTCTGTTTTAGGGAGAATATGTTCATATTTTTGGTCACTCGTGACCCAAGAAAAAGTTAAACCAAGTGTAGATGCTGATGAAAAAAGTTCAAACTTATTGGAATTCTGTCTGACTCCATAAAAAAGGTAACAAAGATTCTACCAACGGAGAGCTAAACCTAAAAGACCAAAAGAGTCAAATACGCTAAACTAGCTGATCATCATCCCACGCTTCATCTCCCTCAGCATTTTTGAGACTACACCCTCGCCTGAGACATGGGGAAGCTGTTCTCTCTCACTTCTCACAAGGGTGGGGAGACCACTGGCACAGCTGGATACTGACTCAAACCAAATCTTGGTATATGAATTTGAAGGTGAAAAAACACAGCGCGCAGTGACTGAATGAACAGTTCATTTGATCTTGCAAGATTATGTCTCTGGCTTTAGTTACCAAATGCCAAAATAAACCACCGTCTCTTATAGTATTTCATTTTAAGTGCACTGAGTGTGCGTGTGTGCGGATGCCTTTGGTGTTTGGGCAGCTGGCAGCGCTGGCTCAGTACTCACATAATCACAGCTGGAGATACTGCAATCAACACATTTGCAGCTCACAAGGTAACATACACAGACAGAGAGGCAAACACACATACCTAAACATTATCTAATCAGTCAGGGCAGACGGGTGCGGCGTCTGTGATAAGCAAAAGATAAGCAAAAGTCTCCCTGTCTTCCCTGGAATACCGTGGCACATGATAAACACATTCAGGCAGACTGAAAACAACCCGATTGAATTCAGAGTTTCCAGAATTTACGGAGTTGAATGAAAGGTTTTGCTTTGTGCAACAACGATTCTCTCTCTCACCTTGACCCATAAAGGCTCCTTGCAGGGCATCCTTCGCAGTGCCAAAGCCCAGCTCTCTGCACACCACACTGGCTGCAGTCCGGTCCCACAGGTGATCCACAACGGTTCCCCATTTTCCATCTCTGAGCACCTCCACGCGTCCCTCGCCCAGTCTGGGGCCTGCTTTCAGGCGAACAGGCTGTAGAGGGCAACAAACAACAGGACTCAGTTTTTCACTCATACCTGTGTACTGTTTGATTGAAGAATTGCGAACTCCATAAATCTCACCACAACTGGATGAGGAGCCTGGGGTCTTCCTGAGGACATGCGAGAAAACTGAGGCCCTGGGACACACTTGACCACGGCATGTCTCCCGTTCTTACAAGGGCTGGGACTGCGGGGTATGGACAGCTGGGCATGGCATTCTGACAGGCTGTTCTCGGTGCCCAGGCAGTGAACCTTCTCCACCCAGAATCCCTTCTTTTTTGCCATGATACTCAACCTAGACACAAGAGAAAGCTGTCATTGGTATTATGTTGAGGAAGTCAAGTTGATGTCAAATTGTTTTGATTTCATAAAAACATGCTTTTTCAAAGTGTATCTGTCATAAACTACTGAAGCTCATCTGCTTCACCAAGACCATGTTGGGTTGTAAGTTTCACTTTGGTAGAGGGGTCTTTTTCATTACCTTGTTGAGGGATCTCCAACCTTGGTGTCCCATATTTTCCTGTAAAAAGGACAAAAAAAACATGAGCAATGAGTCAAAAGAAAAAGCTGTCACGCCTGGGGGAATGTCTCGTCTTGATTACCTATTGTGTACACCTGGGGTTTCCCTCCCTCATGTGTTTAAATAGTCCTCGTTTCCCCTTGTCTGGTGCGGGGTCGTTCTTGTCTTCTTGCCTTGTCTCTTGTCCTTTCGTCCGTCGTCACCCCCACGCCAGGTTTGTTTCGTCACAGTTCTGCCACAGTCATAGTCACGTTTTGTCATAGTCTTGTTTATCTTTATTTTGTTACTTTGTCAAGTCATAGTTTTTGCCACAGTATTGTTTGCTCATTGCTTTGTTACTTTGCCCACAGTTTGCCACAGCTTTGTTTTGTACTTTGTCTGGACATTCACCCTGTTCTTTGTCAATAAACCTTGTTCCCCTCATCTCCGCACCTGAGTCCTCCCGTCAACACCCACCTCCCTGACAAAAGCATACAAAACAGTTAGTTTATACAAGATAATTGATGTTACTGGGATAAAAAATGTTCAAAGAGCTTGACATCTTTTGTATAACAATAAAAGAAAGTTTTATATATGGCTTTTATATTTGATGAGGCCTTATTTATAGACATAAGTGTACTCACGGCATTGGCAAGTGGACTTTAGAGAGCCTATGTTCATTTTGGGAGTGTACTGGAAAATGCTAACAGAATTTAAATAACTTTTTATCATTATATATTGCTGCAGGGCCTCTTTTCATTTTTTTTAATGTTCGGTTTGAGTTCTCGTTTCTTGAAGGCCTTTCCTCTTAAACGGACAGAAAAAAGTCAGAAAACAGCCGTTCATTCATTGTTTAAGGCGGTGCTGGGTTTGTATAAATATTTTTACATCATGATGTTGATGACTGAGAAGAAAAAAGTTGTTGTCACAGTTGGAGACAATAATCTTACTGAATGCCTACAAGCATGAAAAAACTATAAGGACAAAACCAAAAAGTGACTCTACAGTGTGCAAGGATTTAGAAATAAACAACAACCAAAAAAAGAAGAAGAAGAAGACAGGAGTTATTCTAACAATGTTGTTAACCTCCAAAGCCACATGTTGTTCAAAAATAAAAATGCATGACATGCAACTTGAAAAGAACATTTCTGGGAAGGTATGGTTTGACCAAGCACTATGTACAAACAAGAGCCCTGCCACTGTGCAGGGACCAAACAGAGATTTATGCAGCATGCAAGTTGGCTAACTTGGGAAGGCCGAGGAGAAGAAAAACCCTCTGTTCTTTTGGCACGCACGAAAAGCAGATCAGACGACATACCATAAGAACCACTGCAAAGGGCACCAACAACAACAGCGATTACACCAAGAAGATTCCACTTAAATCATCATTAACTGCCGAACTTTAAAACATGCAAACATGCACTAAAAATATTGCTCAAGACTCTGAACAATTACCTAAACCATTGATAGATCAATATAGTTTAATACTTCATTCTTCGACAGTGAAAATTGTTTATTTGTTGAACCTAAACGTAAAGCTTATGAATTATGTAGCTGACATGTATCATAACACCTCTATAGCTTTTCTCATGCACGTTGGTGTGGCATCACATAGGTAAGATGGGTAAACATTATGAAATACTGATTTTTGTGGCATTCCTCTTATAAAGAAACAAGCAGATCAATGGATGTTTGTTTGAAAGCAAAGGCAGGTCAATATTTTTATTCCTGACATGAGACTCCAGACATTCCTGTAAAGGTAAAGCAGAAACCTTAAAAAACAAACTAAGGATGTTGGAATCAAGGGACCCATTGTCAGAGACATAATATTATGTTGACAGCTGCATGAAGTCATGGACTGCTGAATGTACACTTTCCAGAATCATATAATAACTTGTTTCCTGATGCTGCAAGCAGTCACTAAGCAACGAGCACATTACGGCCATTAAGGTGAAAATATCAGTCAAAGTATTACTGCATTTAAAAAAAATGTTTATCTTTCAGTTATCTATCAGCAAAATCAAGGTGTTTTGCTATTTTTTAATGTTATTTTGGAATAGAATCTATTTAAACTGGTCATTTCCCTGCCCAATTTAAAGTATAAATTAAGCTTTGAGAAGAAAATTCCTCGGGGTGAATTATGAACATTTGCAAAAGGAATTTTAGCTGCTTAAACGGCCTGAGTTGTTCCCTTTTAAATGTCATATCGAGCATGACTCCATCTGAATGCACACAGCCCAATATAAAGCTGTACGCGCTGAGGCCAGCTGTAGATTACGACCAACTCACTTCATAGATTTTTACGTTTATGCCTCACTATGACTTGGGTTATGCTTGTAAAATCTCTCAAATGTGTCTAACATGTGGCTGTGCAGTAGCACCCGGTAGACAGAATGAAGCATGCACAGACACATTTTCTCATGAGGCAAACATGTCTGTGACTTGTTTGTGACCTTACCACAGGCAAATCAGCCAACCGTTTTCTCTCAGAAAGCAGCGGGACTTGTACGCGGGCTGTAAATGATGCCCCCCGGCTCTTTCATTTGACTAAATTACAGCTATGCTGAACTAAATTCAAGTGTAATAAAACATACATTTTCAATCACATGACAGTAAATAATTAACATCGGATCGCAGTTTTCTGTAATGGAAAATTCTACATTCGTGCATAGAGCTGTAACAGGTGGTTTGAGCATTCCTGTACGAGTCATAAGCTGATGCAGGACCATGGGATTAGTTTGATTTTCACCTCCATAGCATTCATCTGCCTTGTGTAACCAAACAGTATCATCACCAGTTGTGAAACCAACAGAACGGAGGCTAATGACAGGTGCTTTCACCAGACTGTAAAAAGACAAGCATTAACACCGTTTAAGTTACGTCACCCTCACAGTCATCACCATCCGAACACAACTCTATTTGCTCTAGTGTTCACGTTAAAAGATTAATAAAAACGCTGCCAACTTTCTTCCCTGTCTGTCTGATTCTTGGAAAATCAAAGCTAAAGGAAAGGTCAAAATTAAAAAAAATTCACCCCAGAGAGACTGACATATTTTTAGATGACAACATTTTCAAATTCCTTGATTTGTCCATGAAAGGTTCTTACTGGCTGAAAAATTCCACGAAGGCCAGGGTGAACTGATAAAAAATTGTTCAACTTCAACTGAGTTTGGAAAAGGCAGCTTCCACAGTTTTTGCCAAGCCAAAAATATTTCCACTGACATGCATACAGAAATTAAAAGTTGAGAAAATAAATTAGAGAGAAGATCCTTCGGTGGGCTCACACAGACACCAGACAGGAAAACCACATTCGGTCACCCAAAATGTCACCGAAAAAACCTGAAAATGATACCCTCATCGTAAGAGCATCCGATCTGAAACGTAATTAAATAAAATGCTGGTTAAGTACCCAAAATCACCATAGTGACAGTGGAAGACAGACATCAGCTGACACAAACTGCGGCTGTATTTGGCCATATTTCACACAAGCAGGAGAAAATCTGCCATGTCTGACTCTGGTTCTTTCTCTATACCCCCTCTTTCCACCATCTTTTCCAGTTCTGTTTTACTCTCTCTCTCTCTCTCTCTCTCTCTTTCTCTCTCTCTCTCTCTCTCTCTCTCTCTCTCTCTCTCTCTCACACAGCTATAATTGGGCGTGTTTTTTTCACTCTCAAGTGAAACCCTAGAAAACGTTGGTCCTGACCAACTTGTAATTACAGCATCCCCATGTGTCTCTTTCATCCAAGAGACACATGGGGCTGAGAGATGGCAGGGTCCAGGATTTCTAAGAATGGAACGATAGACTCGTGCAAGGAGGAGAATGAGGGGGGATGTCACTGGCTGCACTTGGTTAAATACTATCCAAAACTTCTCCGGCAACTACACAAGGACGTTGCCCCAACAACCCAAGAAACCAGTAGTCTAAGCACAACTCTTCTTTCATTATTCAACTTTCGTAAAAGCAGCTATTTCAGTTGGGTTTCTACTGATCACGCTCATTACAAGAAACCTGAAAAGAAAAAACTTTGGCCTTTGAGCTCTTTGAAAGATTCTGAAATGAAAAAATAAACACTGAGTCAGAGAAAATATGCATCTGTGAAGTTACAGACTGTATAGTGTTACAGCTTTGCAAGCAAACACATCATGAAGTGTAGTGCCTTAGGCAAAACACCGGGTCATACTCAGGACAGGCAGACTCACAAGTCATGGCCACTTCCATGCTTCCCGGCTGAAGCTGTATAATTTGCAGAGACATGCCGGGTTCTACACATTCTGTGGTTTGGTAATACACTAAACATGCTTCTGTTTAAGCTACTTTACTTGACCTTAAAGGAAGATTTCGAATCAAAATCTTAAAATAGCCAGTGTGCAGATTCCCAACGGGCTTCAATCCAAGCCCTTCAAGCTACAGCAACTCTGTTCCCTTTTATCATATCAGCCTTCTTGGTGAGCAGCCAAATCTCTGTTCAAATCTTGAAGTCATACAAAACCACTCATCCTAGTCCTCCCTCAACTAATTCTTGGACATCTCATTTTCAGTTCTTTGCCTTCCTGCTGTCAGATCAATACTGCAAGACAAAATCCCGCAAACGTATTAAAATCCTCACACCTGCAATGCAGGGAACTGCAACAATAAATGATCTGGTTCAGGCCGCGGACACAGCCGGGCTGAGCTGCTCACCCTCACCTCATGCGATGGGGCCTTTTATTACTAAAGATGTGATGCCACATGATTCCCCTCCTTTAACGGCAGGAGCCTGTTATAGCTTCACAGTGTTCCCCGTAACACTTAAGTTCAACACAGACAACTCAGTTCAAGGGCAACGCAGAAATACTTTTCAGTGACTGAGTGCGGTCCACTGGGAGCAGATTGTGAAGTCAATAAAAAGTTATAAAAGTCTATAAAATGAATATCTTTCCCCTCGGCAGTTGCAGCCTTTTCAGTAGCATGAGGAATCTAGCATTTACGGAGCAGAGCAGATGTTGTGGTCTGTCACCAGTCGTGTCAGAATAATTCTAGGCACAAGAGGGAGGGAATAGCTAAACTGTGAATCACCTATGCCCTGCAGCTCTCCCAGAACAAGGTCCAACTGGGTTTCCCTTCCACGCACAGTCAGACACTGCTCATTCTTTTAATAGCATTGGAGTAATTCTTTGCTAATGTGTGGTCCTCCTGTGGTTTTACGGCAGAGCACTTCCCAAAACCGCTGTCAATATTGTTTCAGCGAGCAATGAGGACATGTCCATCTGAGCCAAAGGGACAAAGGAGACACCTAAATACAGTTCATTAAAGCTCGTGTTTCACTAGAACAGTGCTAGCTTGAACACATTAGAATCCTTCTACTTTGGTAATTCTGTCTTGGGTAACATATGAATCTCAATGACATTTTTCTATCAATAAGTTCAACACCATCTACGGCTTTCTTTCTGTGCTAATAATAACTATTTAACAATAATCTTTTTTTATATATTTACAGTTTGTCACATAAATTCTGTAAATGATGTCAAAAGCCAGAAGAAGAAGGTAAAGAACAGCATGGCTGTGCTGAGCATCAGGAGGTTTGCTGGCCAATAAGACGAATCACTCCAGAAAAACCTTTTCTCCCCTCGCAGATAGCAACCTCAGTCTCAAAGAGGGTATCGATGGGACAGTTAAACTACAATCAGCAGCGATATTACACCTCGGCAGGAGAATCTAAAAGTTTAAGTGCTGCTCTTTGTCTGCAAGGAACAGGCTGAAGGTGGCATCGGAGGGAGAGAGTTAGGAAACGGAGAGGGAAGCAATGAGGTGTGCAGAGGTGATTTGCCATGAGAAAGGTACAGAGAAAGGGCAATGGAGAGGGGACAGGGAACCCTTTATCATCATACTAAAGATGGGGAGAGGGGGTGTAAAGGGGGACTCAGGGCAAAAAGATAAGCCCGATGCAAGCCCTTCTCTCAGTGTGGCTCTGAACGAGATGCTGATGTGTATTCATTCTTCGGATGGGTGTTTATTCATGTAAGAATGAGCTGAATTGCACAGCACGCTACCCATTTTGAAATACAGTCCACAGTCCGGTATTTTGTAACATCATGATCTGAGTTCGTAACCGTGCATTATGCTGCTCTCCACACAGCCTTTGAGCGAGAGTCATACTCACTTGTACATCTTAGCGTTGTGCTGAGTTGCCTCTGGAAAGCCGAGCATCCCGCACACGACCCTGCTGCTGTTCAGACTCCAACCCAGGTCACAAACTTGTCTCCATCTCCCAGCATGCTTCACTTCCACTGCACCCTCTGTGATGAGGCTCTTCTTCTTGGTAGCCATGAGGATGGGGCGAAGCCGGACCTCCTCGATACGCACCTTGCTGTGACCCTAGTATAATAATAATAGGCAAAGCACACCTATGTTTACATATCTTTTGGAGATAATACTGATATCTTACTGATGCAAACTGCTGTACCTGATAGTGATGGTGTCTTTGAAGCCTGGGAACCTCATACGGATGGCCATTTCCATAATATCCATATCCTGGATGCCTCTGGGTCGCCACAAGGCCTCCCCACTGTGGAGCGGTTCTGCCATTGGGCCTGGCAGCGGTCGTGTAGCCCCTGCTTGGTGACTGATCCGATCTCCGCTCGGGGGTACACACGATTCCTAGGTCTTCGGAGTGTTTACAGTCATTCACCCCCCAGCCGTTGTGTTTGCAGTCCTTCAAGGACTTTTCCGAGCCGTCGCAGCGTACGTTATCCATCCATATTGGGCCTAGTAAAACAGTCATTTCATAATGGCGTTTAATAGGATTTTAATTGGTTGTACACCAGACGGATGAGGCAACCCATCTCCAAAACAGTTCCTAAACACCTAACACTTGACTTTTACGGGCGGGCTGATTTAGGGTCGCGCCTTTGCAGCATGTTTAGCGGTAGATACACAGTATTTCACAAGGCGGCAGGGCACTGTGGATCCTGCTCCTTGAATCTGTTCAGCTTCTCTTTAATTTGGATTTAAAAGCGGCAGTAAAAATGTCTGTAAACCACAGCAAGTGTCAGACGATTCTGGCAAGCAAATGCTGTCATTACTCTTAAACAAAAGCCCCCTTTTTTTGGGCCCATACATTAGCCCTGATGGACCATAAGAAGATGGAGGCTCCAGTCTCTGTCACTTTCTGATGTTGTCCCTACCTGTGGTGTCATTTATAGCCCCCTGAATCTGCACTTATGTAATTGACTTCCAATCACAACAGAAAGATAGACAGACAGAAAAAATGTAATAAGGTTTCAACAAATTAAGAATGGATCTGTTGCAGTTCACTTCTATGTGACAAATGCTAAGGTCAATTCGACTTTTTTTTTAACAAATCTTTGGTCAGTTTGAGTGCTCTCACCGGTTCCTTCTCCATACTTGGCGCTGTGAGCCCACGTCACAGCCGCACGGAAACCCAGCTCTCGGCACACGACGTTGGCCAGTTTAATGTCCACCTCGTCGTCGCAGACGGTCCCCCAGGTGTTGTTGTGGAGCACCTCCACGCGCCCTTCGTTCGCCTCGCGCGCAAAGTTGCCAGCCAGGCGCACCTTGGCTGCGGGCGCGCGGGGCGCTCTGCGCGCGGACAAAGTGGTCCTCGGAGGGTCCCCACGCGCGTGGCGGCAGAGAGACAGCAGCAGGAGGAGGAGGAGGAGGCTCAGGCAGACGATGCGGGTCATCGTGGGACAGAGGAAGAATCTGCAAATAAAGGGTGATAATGCACAGTTTTACACAGAGTTCCATTAATGTATGGATTCCATATATTTTTACACATATATATGTATTTATATACATGTTATGTATTCCAGCAGTTCGTCAATTCACAGTTTAATAATCTTTTTATTAATCAGGTTAGTCCAGTGCAGGTCAAACGGCCACAGAGATTATGTCCTCGTTTTAAAACAGTCCAACGGTGACATCCTCTGGTCAAAACAGTCTGGTATCCAACAGCATCTGAGTTCCTCTTCTGTGTTATCAGAAGATCAAGTGTGTTCTGAGATATTTACCACAGTAACGTATCAATCTGACAGTCTGATATAGGGCTTGTGTCTGTCTTTTTTTTTTCCCCTCCTCATATTTTAGTATTTTAGAGTTTGCTGCAGCCTCAATCTCACACCAATGCATTGGAATCCAAAATAAATCAAATGAATCCTTTCCACTCCTGTCAAACATGAGCATATAATTAAAGATACAGCAGCATACTTGTGTGGGGCAGTTCACCCCAGGGCAAACTCACCAGACAGAAATATATGTGAGACAGACTCTAACTGTTGTGTTTGGGTTGAACAAGTGTTCCAGCTAAACACAGTGGTGGAGAGAGATACTTAAAACAACAACAGACAGCAGGTCCTCAGGACAACACAGAGCCCAAAATGGCTACGATATGTTTTGTAATGTGATGGTAGAATTTAAAAAGAACCCACCAAAGAGTAAGCAGATTCTACCGACTAAACCACAGTATTAATACAAGTACAGAATTCTACATTACTGTATTTAATGATAGCAACATTTATTGTATTAATTTCCTTTTAAAATACATCCTGATTAAAAGAATAGTAACAGTAGTTTCTTTCGTTCGTGTGTCAAAAGCACCTGTTTCGTTGGCACTCTGGTGGACTAAAAATAATTTTCAAAAGAAATAAAAAATAACTTGTTCTATTTTTCTCTAAATGGAAAAAGGAGAAGATAAGGTGAATGTTCACTCACCTGGCAGACAGCAAATATTGAAGTGTAAATGTCAGTAGCAAGGGGAGAGTGACTGTGTGAAGGAGTGTGTCTACTTAATGCTCTCCTCACTCAATCCTTCCCTCTTCCCTCCTTCTCCACATAACCCTCCCTGCCTCCTTCGCTGCCTCCCTCCTCTTACACTCTATATATCCTGCTCTCACGTTTTAGGTGACCTAAAATACAGTGTACCTATTTAATTAGAAATCAAACATGCACGTGTACATGTAACTCAGATATTGCTTAAACTAAAAGCTGGTTGCAGGACGTTAGTTTCTTCCCTTACTCCCTTTCGTTTTAACACTGGCATTTGCATAACTGTGGATGGAAGTTTCTTTTTTTTTTTTTAAACATTGTTTAAAGTTGTTCTTTACAGATAAATAAACCAGAGATTCAATAAATGGACCTAAAAGAAAATAAGACTAATCTCTGATGATGAAAAGTTAAATACAAGAGCAGAAATTGATTTAAAATATACTAAAAATCCATTCCCTTTATGACATTTTCCTTCTCACATGGAAGCCATTTTACACCTCTCTCCTCTGATAGGCTGATGATGCTTTACACAACCATATACTGTGAGCATTACACAACTTTATGGTGAACGTGTGTAAATGTGACCAACAGGAAGGACTCTGGTTCCAGAATAGTTTCAAACATCAAGTTCCAAGTGTCTTAAAGAAGCTCCCTATACCACAGGGTAGATATTTCCTTGTTGAGATGCCCGCAAACCACCAATTCTAAAATAGGCCGGGCCTCATCGTAGCCATGGTAAACGTGACTGATGAGAATATGCATTACCACCCCTGCCCAGTATGTTGCTATAGTCTAACCTATCATCGTGGTGTAGAGAGCATAAAGATGTAACTCATCAGTGTAAGCTCAGACTGGGAAAAGTCTTTTTTTTTTTAAATACTGTGTGACAAGGTCCTGACCTGACTAAGGTTTCTTCCAGATGTTTAAAACCTCTTTACATCTTTGAAAGGTGTTTATTTACTTATGGGGTCATTTTTGGAAGATTTGGGGCAAATTTAGCTACATGGAAATGTTTGTCCTCAGGGTGTTTTGTTGATAAACTGAATTTCAGTTTTCCAGTAAACCTCAGTGGGCAACTTTCTAAGGTAGCAGGATTTATTCATAGCACATGAAAAATTACAGTTCTGACACAGGAGGCAGGAGTCTAAACACCGGCCACAACCGTTAAGAACACTTAGCCATGTGTAGATTTCCGAGAGGTTGAAAAGGAATTAAACTTTAGGAGGTGTGTGTGCATTCTTGTGTGCAGATTCTTTGAAGCAGTAATGGAGGCGTTTGTGTGTCGCAGTGATGGTGCCACTGGGTGGCGAGATGGTGGTCCCTCCCTGAGTGGTAAACCTGAACAGGAAGAGCAGACCCCCTATTAGTGGAGCCAGATCAGAGGGATCTCCAAGGCCAACGGGGAAGAGGAGATGTAAAAAGAAAAGATGCTAAAGAAAACAGGGCGTGCGAAGGATTGAAACTGAAGCTATCAGCAATGTGTTGAACATTGTTGCCCTACAATTTACAATGCATTCTGTATGTGACAGAAAAAAACTTGACTGTACTGATTTTTCTGCTTTTATGCCTTTTTTTTCATGGTTCGGGGGGGGGGGGGGAGGGGGGGGGGGTCGAGTGAAAGTGTTTCAGGGCTCTCGGAGAGCTGGTAGGACTATCTGAGCAGAGCAGGTCTCTGGGGCAGAGCGCTCTCACTCTCCACCTCTCTAATTACGCAGACCGAGCCGGTTCTGCCCTTACCCACAATCTGTGGAGGCATGAAATAAATACATGCTCTCCAACAATAAACAAGCGCCTTTTCAAATGACAGCACCTCCTCTCTTCTAACACACCCCCACTGCCGTCCCACCAGGCTTTCATAATGCTTTTACTTTTAACAGGGTTATGCACAACTACATGGAGTCTCTCAGTATTTCATTCTTCTTCAGCTTATCTGTCAGAAACTTGAGGAGGTCTTCACATTTGTTGTCGGGAAAATAAATATTGCTTTTCATCTTTAATGTGAATTTAAAAAAAACATCAAACATCAGTAACTGATGATGGATTTGATATTAAAGGGGTACCAATGTTCTAAAAGGAATAATCTTAGTTTTTACATGACATGCAAATTATGTTCCTTCCTCCTAATTTTATCACACAATTTGGTGTCCCCTATTGTTCAGAACAAGAAAATACATTTCTCAACTGGAACAGATTTTCATGTAGCAATAGGAAAGGCTTTTCCTGTCATGTTTTATGCAATATGCATAAGGAATTACCAGAATTGTGCTTACTAATGCAAGAGAAGATGTTAGTTAAAAGAGATCCAATCTGCCTTTGTAGTTGTTTTTTTCAAAGATGGTCAAGGTCAATTTCAACACATGCACTCCTTAAATGGCTTAGATTCCCATTACTGAAATATCTTTTTTACTGTCAAGCTAATATGTTAGCCTGTTTGCTAATCTGTTTGATCAACAAGCCAGTACACAACTAGATGACCTTCCAAAGCCCACCACTAAAACTCATTCACATTCTTTTGGAAATGTAAAAATGGAAAGATGAGTTGGAGTTCTCATCTGGTTGAGTAAAATAATTCTAGTTAAGCCACTCAACATCAAACCCATGTGGAAACAATGTATATATGTAAACTTTTTCACTCTTTTTTGTGCCGGTGAGGCAAAGATTTGTATTTTTATTGTGCCATTTAGCATGATGAAGTAATGTATTACTTTAGAACAATTAGCTGAGTTATTTTTTCCAGCCCATTGGCATTTTACTTAATTTGACATCTGCAGTAACACTTCATTCTGCAAAGTCAAGCTGTTTCTTCTCTGAACATTGTACTTTCTAGCCGAAGTGTATATGGAGAGATCAGTTAACACATTTGCTTTGCCAAACTGTTACCAAACCAAACTTTACATGTGCCCAATAATGCAGAGGCTGACAAAGGGACTGGGAAGAAAGAGGAGCAAAGAATAACAAATCCAAAAAGGAGATCCATTGGACAGAGAGAAAGAGAAAAAAAAGAAAGACAACAAACCCATGCAACCAGCTGCTATGTCTGTACAAAAAAAACGTTTCCTGTGGGCGATGCGGGTGGAGAACCTATAGGAGCTCCTCCAAATGGACAGAGGGAAGACAAAAGAACAAACTAGCAAAAAAAAGACTGGTAGCAGGGACATTAGTGAGTGACAATCGGGCACCAACCCAGAAGGCAGCCAGGGAAGCCCCCCCAGAAGAGCCCCCCCACCAGCGTAGGCCAGAGGCCCCCCAAGAACCATGAGCGACAGCACACCAGCCTCCACCGGGCCCCGTCCCCCAGACGCAGGCCGAGAACCGGAACCCAAGCGCCACCAAACCCCCCCGGGCAGAAACCCCCCCCCCCCCCCCAGCATCCCAAGGGGCCAGGCACCCCAGACAGCCAGACGCAGCACACTCTCACACACACCCACTCACTCTCACACAAACATTCTCACCCACGCACACACACATTCTCACACCCACACAAACACTCTTTCTCTCACACACACATACAGAAAATACTTAGATAAAAGTTAAAAAAGGGGGAAAAAGGGGAAAAGCGGGGGAAAAGGAAAAAAATGAAAAATGAGGAAAAAAGGGGAAAAAGAAACAAGGAAAAAGAAAAAAGGAAGAAAAAGGGGGGAAAAGAAGAAAAAAGGAAAAAATTATATTCATGTTTATTGGGATTATTGCACAATCACAGTTTTCTACAGCTATGAAAGAATATAGAGCTGTAATGTAAACTTCCTGCCCAAACTGCAGCTATACATGTACTCTGCTCCCAAACTAAGAGACCATTATGTAAAATGTGTATTGAGTTGTGAATGATTAATTTATAATACCTTTTGTAGAGAACAGAATGTGGATTCAAAGACTCAGATAATGAAGAATTGCAGCTATTGTATTTAAGACATTAAATATGAAAAACAGGAACAATCTGCCCCGACTTATTTGCAGTATTCAGTCAAAACCAGTTTTATATTATTATGTGTTAGTGATTTTACAGTAAATTTAAGAATGCAAAAGAGATGCATCTGTAGATAGGAGATTACTTCAACCTTGATTTCAGATCTTCTTTATCCATTTTCTTATGAAACCTTCAGTCTTATGCAAACAAATACTTGGCTGTATCATCTTAGCAAGGGCGAATTAGACTATCATTTTCAAAATTACGTATGCTCTCAATATGAAAGAAAATGTGTAACCAGAAATATTGCAAACTTGACATGTTTACTGAGTTACTAAATCAAAGAGGAAGAAAGGGTAATTTTCTCATGGGTCTCTATGCAATTAGATGATTGACTACTTCTTTTTTGTTTTTTTAGAAAAAAGAGATGCCCTGTACTGGTCCTATGAAATACACCTGAACTGGTTTGATCAGGTGGATTCATTGATCCACAGACTGATGCAGGAATTATAACTCTAATGAACACTCCATCACTCTTCAATAAGAACACAAGCATTTGCAGTGGTATTTTATATATTTCGAGCTTTCAAACTCGTTTGCACATTTTTAAACTTTTTTCTCTCCATTCAGAATATAAATAATTGGGCATTCTATATAATCTTTTATAAAAACTCAATTCTTTATTCATTTAAGACAAGAATGCTTATAAAAAAAATCTATCTGGCTGCATGTCACACATTTTAATGAGTAAATCAAACTTGTTATAAACGTAATATGCAAAGTTTCCCTTCAATTTCACAGCCTCACACATGCTAAAAGTACACATATATTTTTAAGAGGCATCATTTCTCTTTTTAAAATGTCACTTGTGGCTTGTTGGTTGCTTTTCCCACACATTCTCAGAGCTGCTTCCATCTCGCTTTGGTCTGAGGTGGTTACAGATTCCCCAAAGCCTGCTTGAACTTGGCCACACAAGTGTCTCCTACAAGTGATGAGAAGATTACCTTAAGCTGCCCACAGCTGCACGGCCAGCTTTGATTTGTATCAAATAAAGTAATGCTTGGTTCCTGGTGATTAAAAATGAAAAATGGACACGCAAACCACGTGTAGAAGTTTTTTTTTTTTTGTGATCACTCCACAAGTACAACTCTGCCACCTTGTGGAGATCAGATTGACATACTACTACCATACAACTCATCAATAGCTGTACATTTCAATCACTATTTCCAATTTGCCCTTATTCATAATGAAAACACTCAGAAAAAGGAGGTGAAAGTATATTTATTAAATATAAAAAGCTCTCATTTGAGGTGCAGTAATGATAATACAAAATATTTGGGAGGTTTTATAAACAGGACTGCAGGGCTCTTGTTATAAATGTGCATATCAGAATTTAAAATCCACCTTACCGAATCTAAACTGTAATATGGAAGATGAAAAACACAGAGCAACATACATTAAAATGTGTCCACTCTGAAATATTTTGAATAATACATGCTTTACTAAAATCAATCACGCTATAAGTTTCCACAATTTTCTATGCCGAGCAACCAGTTTGACTTCACCAGTCAAACGGGAAATGAGCAAGTACGTTAAATGAACAAGTGCAGTCTTTTGGTTTGGTTCCCCGATTCCTTTTTCACAAGTATTGGCCACGAGACAGAAAACAAAACAAGTAAAGCAGAAGTGCAGCATGTGACAGTGTTTGCACCAAATGGCTGTGAATGTTTGCCTTGTAAAGCCAGTAGAGGAAAGCTACTCTAAGACGCAAACATTTCAACAGTTAAAAGTGATGAAATTCAATCGTTTAAAATCAGTTTGAAAAGAATGTTTTGGGTTTTTTTTTTTTAAAGTATAAATAGCTAAATAAATATTGTCACTATTTAGTGCATAGTTTACTAGTGAAAGTAGTGTGGACAAATTTTGTTGTTGTTTTTTTAGTGGATGGTAGAAACTTGCCCAAGGGTTCCAGTGGTCTTGTAATATACTGTCTAGTCCAAACTCATGAAAGCCTGAGGCTATTTTCAATGCAGCACTTTCAGATTCTTTAACCTGCTCAAATACTGAAATGGAAGGCCATACGAAGAAAAACACTGCTTCTGAAAACTCAGATATAAAGCTTCTTATTTTTCTAACAGTGTAGCTTCTAACATGTCAGGGTGTCTACTCTTTGCATTGGTGAAAACAATTTAGAATGATGTACTAATGATGTTTGATGAATGATGTAGAGAGTACTGAAGGTCTTAATTACGAGAAAATAACCACCAAACTTAATTTATACTGAGTTCTACAGACCGGCCCTGAAAGTAGCTTTTCAATAATCCACAAGAGGGCCAAATAATGCATAAGTGATTCTTTTTCACATCTCCTATCTCATGCACTCCAGACCAACATAAGCTAAAACTGTGGCTGCAAATCTGTCACAATGACAAAACAATACCTTTCTTACACAGACTCAAACACTGAGTGTTGCAGCCTCTGTGAAATACAATCATCAGGTGTTGATGTTACTTCCAACATGCCCTAAAAATGATCACAAAAACACTGAATCCTCCAAAGCATCTAAGGACACCTCATGGGACATCCAATAAGTCTTTTCAAGCTTTCAAGACAACGGTAGCCGCTTCTGAAAGTTAAATACACACTCATTCCTCAATTTCTTAATGCTTCTGACTAATCATTATAGTAAGGCTACACAGCACGGTTTGAAGGCATCTAGTGGGGTCTTGAGCTTATTGGCTAAAATGCATGGAGGAGGTAATGAAACGTCAAGTAAAACCGTCCGTTAATCTTTGGTCTGGTGCTGAACGACTAAGGCAGCTGCAGTGGGAGCTGCAGCCTGATGTGAGATGAGAGCAGCTGTGGGCGACAAGTATATTGGAAATGTTCAATACCCGCCCACAACCTTGTAGATAAATTAGGTTTGCTTTAAACAAATGGGGAAGGAACACTGCATTTTTGACTGAAGAAGGAAGGTCCCTGGGCTGATAGGAGAAACATTTACCAATGTGGCCCAAACAATATCACACCTAGCAGATGTTGCTAGATTGCAACGTTACTTAGGAAGTCTGAGAAAGAGGATATAGGTCAGCATGTGCTGCACAGGCCGGCAAAAATGAAGGTTTCTTGCTGCCATGTAGTACGGGGCAAAAATCATTCCGTCTGGTCCTGAAGGCTAAAATAACAACCTTCCCACTCACAGTCCTTTGTCGCTCATGTATGACTATTCCTCACTCAAAAGCCCGAGTTCTGGCTCTGATCCTTTTGACTAATCTGGTCCACTCTGCCACAGTCAGTCAATATATTTAGCCCGGAGATCCTGATCCAGTAAGTACCAGCTCCGACGGCACAAATGGTGCGTCTCAGTTTCCTGCGCACCATGGAGGGCAGAACTCCGACTGTGCTCAAGGCTGCCATGGTTTCCTGTCCTTGCCTTTCTGATCAGGAATGTGTTTATAGCGGCATTTGTCCCCAAAATGGCAGCCAGTGGTTCTCCAGAAGTAACACTCATCTCCGTTTACAGGGCCACGTCTTCGAGGACTGAGCAGAGAGAAAACAGGGACAAAAGCATTTTTCTGTTAAATTTGTAAACTTCTTGCGCCATTTAAGGGAATCAAGTTTCAAATTGTCTTTTACCCAGCAGCTGCCCCTGCTTGTTGTGTGGCAGGGAGGAAGGCCCTCAGTGGAATGGGAGGGATTTTCGGTGTGCGACGGTCAGGATAGCGCACCACTAAGCGTGTGTTCTCAATGGAATAACCCTGCAAACGCAGACGTGTGCAGGTTTTAAAATACATACTTGACAAAGAGGTAAAAGGCTGAGAGAAAAAAATAATAACAGCAACTCACATTTAGTTTCTCCATGGCACGGGCTGCCATGTTTGCATTCTTGAAGTTGACAAAGGCACAAAATCTTTCATGCAGGACACGAATACTCTCTATTTCACCGTACCTTCCATGCACAGCAATCAACAGACAAGTGGACATACATTGTTAAACATTATACCTCCGTCTTACTGTGACAGAACAATATGACCATATGGATTAATTCAAACTCAAATTATGTGTGTTTCCAGAACTGTAACAGACTAGGGTCATACATTTTAAAAAGGTCCCACAAGTGTTTCTCTGTTAATTCAGTTGTCACATTTCCCACCCAAAGAGATTGACAAGGGCTCCTGAAAGGGAGATAGGAGAGATTGCAAAACCATTAAAAAGCAAAAAGGCTTTGACTTCTAATGCAAATCGACAATCAAAGGTTTGACAGGAGAAACAAATAACCTACTCCGGCTGCACAGCTGATGCATCTTGGCCCCCAGCTGCAAAACAAATTAATGACATAACAAATAAATGCTGACATTAGCATATATCACAAACAGAAAGTTTAGAGCAGATAAAAACAGACTAAACAAAAAATGAAGTCTAACCTCTACTTGGATCAGAACAGGATGCCAGAACAGCCTGGACAGTTGAAAATCTCTCTAGAAGAAGGAAACTTTGCGGTTCTTCAAAACCTAGCTCCTGAAAAACATAAATACGTATGTGTTACACATACACACGTCTGTGTGTGTGTATATATATATAAATAGATAGAAAGAAAGAGAAAGAGAGAGAGAGTTCTGGTCTAGTTCTAGTAATTTTAAATCACATCTGCCATTTTAAATGGAAAAGATTGATAAATAAACATTGCCACTTGAGAAAATACATTTGCATTTACCATCAGCTGAAGCACTTTGCAGTTAAAGAGGTCATTTACAGCTTCCTCACAGTCTTTGTCCAGTTTCAGTACCTGCTCCATGGCCTTCTCTGCCTCACAGTACCTCTGCAACACACACACAGGTGGAAAAGGCTCCGTCTGTCAGACTTAAGAATGCATTTAAATAAACTTTTGTTTTACGATAATGTTATTGATCGTTTATGACCACCTTCATGCCCATAAGAGCACTGCCTTTGCGAAAGTGTCCTTTGGGCCAAACTGGGGCCAGCTGAATTGAGCGTTCAGCATCTGCCAGGGCTTGAGGGTATTGTTCCAAGCAGTAATAGCAATAAGAACGATTCCCAAAGAACCTATAAAGGTAATTTAAGAATACAAAAAGGATTCAGCTAAAACGTTTAAAGCATATCTCTATAAAGACTTAGTCAATCAGGAAGTGTACCTATAATCCTTTGGATCACATTTGATGGCTTCTGTAAACATAGCGACTGCCTGTGTGTACTGCTCCTCCTGCACCAGCTTTATCCCTTTTTCTGCAGAACATCAAAAGAGTGCCTGTAAATAATTCCCTGCAGAGGCATGCGCCCAGGGGTCACCTGGTCACTGGGCTGATACGTTTCTATAAAGACATGCCTTACCTGTCAGTGATGCACTTTTCTTTGCCATGGAGTCAATTCCATTTGTCTGCAAGCAATAAATCTTGTTAATACCTTTGCGTTAAGGACAATATTCATGTGACCATACACACCAGTGTTCAAATCTGTCGTGGTCCAAAGCCCACTGTTTCACTCATCAGACTTTGGAACGGTCAGAGGAACGCACTGCTGCCACAAGGCAAGCTGCCCATTTCACAGTACGCTAGCATTCACTCACCTCTCTCTTGGCCTCATTCTCCTTGTTCTCCCTGGACTTGCGACTTGATCCTTTGGGTTTGATATGGCTAGCAGCATTAGCAAAGAAGGCACTGCTCTCGTCCCACTCTGGCTCCTGTGGGACATGAAAGCCAAATACTGCAGTTAGATCGTGTTCCATTCCGTCTGCTGGCTTTCACAGCAAACGTGCACAGGCCTACTCACGTGCTGAATAAATCAAATAATGGAGATGTACAGTGTACAGCGACAGCTTCAGTACCTCTTCAGTGGATCTTGCTTTAGTCTTTTGTTGGCCTTTGTTTTCCGCAGGAGCCATGATGGGAGTGGACACGTACTTGTGGGAAGCAGCTGACTTTGCATCCTCTTTTTGTGCTCTTTGTTTCACCTCCTCAGCCACAACATCTGCTTCAGACCCACTCTCATCCAGGTCAGAGTCCACCCCACCATCCTCCTCATCGTCATCCTAATGTGTGCAGTCATGGATCATGAAAATGCTTTGCACCTCACAGGAAATGGAAGAGGCAGTGTGTTGTAGTAACATGACAAGTACCTGCTCTGCACAGTCGTTTTGCTTAGTCTGCTCCTGCTTCTTCCGTTTTCGACGGCGCTGAAACAGATAAGCGCAATTTTGGACATTTCCCATCTTTTCCCAAAACAATGGACTAAAGATTAAACAACTCTACCTATAGGGGGTATGTTCATTCAATGTCTCACCTTCCTCTTGGCTTTGCGTCTTTCTGCTTTTTGTCTGACCTTCTCTTCTTCACTCAAACCCTCCTCCCCATTTAATACATCCTAAAAAAAAGAAGAAAAAAAACACATACTCACACACTCAAAGAGGTTGAACACTGCACATCACTCCTACAGACCTGGTAATGCCCGGTCACGATGACACCTTTTGTTTACCTGTGACAAAGTGGCGTCAGGACTTGGGTCAGGGGTTGCAGCACCATAGTCCATCTCCTCCTCCTGTTGCTGGACAGCGGGGCCTTTGGGGAAATGGTAGAGATCATTTATCACAAGGCCTTACATTATTTATTTTCATAAATTGAACTTGAGGAAGATGTTTTTATTCTTGAAATGGAAACAGGAAAAAGCATGGGTCACCCAGGAAATGAAACCCCTTTATTTCCCTAGTCCCCAAAAGGTTAATAACTTCCCAACACTGAAAGAAAGTCAAGTTTGGTCCAAACAAACATAAACTGAATTGACTACCAATTAATATAATGGCAAAAAAACAATGAACATAAAAACATAAACAGCAAAGAAAAAGATAAATGGTTAACTTTTAGAATTAAAATTATAAATCAATGTCTACAAGCAGCAAGAAAATACCAGTGAAAAGTCAAATCTTTCATATACAGGTTTAATCACTTTGACAGTTAATGACGCTGGAATAAACCAATGTTTATTCTCTTTGATTGTAATGAGAGAAATAGACATTTACCCAAAGTGTACCACGTACAGCTGCTACAGGGAGGTTTCTTAGAAACCTTGAAAGATATGATACAGAAAGCAGCCACTGCCCAAAATGTGGAAAGCATGTTGCTCAACATAGATTAGATCACATAACAAATAAAATACATTAAAAAATCCAAAGCAGAGTCAGTGGAAGAAAAAAAAAAACAAGACAAGAACGGAGCTAAAGCCGTGGAGGATTCCATCTATGTGGCATCAGCTTTCCATTTGTTCTGCAAAAATTTCTAGAGTGACAAATCCCTATTTGGTGGGTGACTCATGTTGGGACTCGTGAGGCACTGATGGGTGAGCTCAGTGCAGTTCTGCCATTTCAACACAGACTAGACGTGCTGTAAAAACATATCTCCACTGATGAAGGAGCAGAAAAATAGATGCATAGCCTCCAGACTTCCTCATTCCCCTCATTTCAAGAGCCCAGGTCACCATTTTTGACACTAAAACATAGACATCGAAATCCAACACTACTGAGAAAAACTATTGTAAATTCTATTTAAAAAACTTGCTCCATGAGCAGTGCAAAGCAACTTGTGAAGTGATGATTGGTTAAAACTCATCCTGATCTAGATAGAGTCTGCCGTCTGACATCTACGTAATGTGGGGGAGTACAAGGAAATATCACCCATTTGTGTCTAGCTCCCAAAATGTCAAGCGAACACCTCCCAGTAACACACCACATCACATTCACTGAACCAGGCTTTTTGCTAAATCTTTAACCGAATCTCCTCTTAGAGCATAAATGATACAAGATTAGTGGACAAAAGCCACAAAGGAGTCCCTGTTTCTTCTTGTCAAGGAAACGTCCTAAATTAGCATTGAGTTGAAAGGTGAGCTGTCTCCACTGGAATGCAAAATAACAGTGAATCATGGTCGACTGGGGCATTAGACAGGAATCAGCTTTACTGTTCTTCTTTCCTCCACCTCATCAACCAAAAGAGAAATGGTTACCTTGAGCTAAAAACAGCAACAATAGCCATTCGCGTGATCTTACAGTCACGAGAAAGACAGGTACTTACACAACACTGCACAACAACTACACAAAAGTGCGTGGCTGAGAGGCACCAGTGTTCCTGGGTGGAGCAGTCTTTAGAAATCAGGCACGGAACTGATTCAAGGAGGCATGTTTTCATCACTAAAACTAGATTGAAAATTTGATTTTTGAAAAATTGAACAAACAGGAAATGTACATGAAGTCTGGACCCAAGTACGGATGAGTAGAAGTCTGAAAACTGCTCAGTGAAATTGAGCAATAAAGCTAAAAGTCAATGAATACAATCACATACTCTGACGTTGATTTCAGTGGCTCTTTCCGGTGGAACGGCGGCGTTTGGTGACGTTTGAACAAAAAGTACACAAACAGGGTATGGTACCAGAAAATAGACCCACAAACGAAATGCTAAAACGAGGAACCAACGCCAGGTCCACTACTACCTGATGCTTAAGTAACCACATGTTCGGTCGAGCTTTCGCCACCTATTCGAAGCATTGTTGTCATACCAACACGAACCGAGGAATGTTTCTACTGAATTTGGCCTTTACCACAACACCTTATGCTTTACGTGACGCACGGTAGGCGTTTCTATGATAGAAATTAATCTTAAAATTCGCCGGGTGGACGTAAAACTGTCTGAAAAGGCGCAACCGTATAGTTTTGTCATCTACTGCGCAAACTTGGAAGTAGCGCAAGAGGGTGGAACTGGGACGAAAGGAACTTTCAATGCCAGACTCTGAACTCACATTGATTCTCTCAAAAAAAGTGGACGGAAAAACACTGCCGAAAAACACTTTCCTGTCAAAAACTATTCCTTAGCTATACTCCAAAGTTTAACTGTCACACGCCCGTCGTTATCGCTTTCGGGATCCAACTTGTGGTTTAGTTCACAAAGTTTTGAAAACAGGGACGTTTCTTACCGCTTCCGAGTCCCAGCAGCCTGCATATACCTCTTGTGAATTTCATGAGAGCAACCATCCAGCATTATTGTCTCAAATATCTCCCAAAGTCATATAAACTATTGTTTAGGCCCGCGTGAACACGTTTGTAACATTAGATATCGAATCTGCGGGAATCTTTGGTGGTTTAATCCACTTCCTGAGCGTCAAAACGGACGCTGGGTCCACCCTGAGGAACGTCTTAAAGGCACAGGACACAATTAATTGCTGAATACTGCAAGTGTGTCATCATGACAGTAATTCAGATATAAACAAATGTATAGTGACAGATGTCTTCAAATTTATAGATATTGTAGATATACCTGAGAATTTATAAAGTAGAATGTATTAAATTACCATCAATAAATCAAAGATGTCAAAGAAGCTGCAAACTTTGTTTACATTTCAGCAGAAAAATCAACTAAAACACAAACTTGTTTCTAAAGGTCAGAAAAAAATGTATTCTTCTTTAAATATTTAGTTTGAATGAAATACCTATTTTTGTTTTGTTGTGACGTCACATTTTCGTATGAATTTCCAGTTCATGGATAATCATCGTGATGTTTTAGAATTCATTGCATCATCAATGATCAATAGGTTTGTTGATTTAAATAGGCAATATTCCCCAAAGAAAAATGATACCATCATAATTCACTAGATATGTGTGTGTCTGTGTCAAATAAAAATTAATTCCAACTAATTAAACATTGAATAGCTGATGAATATCAGTCCCAGTATAGTGATTGTAAATAAAATACAAATATACTTTTCAATGTTAAACCGAAGTAACCATTTTCACTTGAATTTATCAATTGATTTTATTTAAACAAATTCTCATCAGAAAATGTTTTGTTTTGTTTTTACATTATCAATATAAATGCAATGTATCTAAAATATATATTTTCTCTAAACATCACTTTGGTATTGGTGTCATTTATTTAATGCAGGCTGAGTTAGATCACATTATTAAACCTATTACATGGATAGCAAACAATATTCCATTTTACTTGCCCCATTAAATCAGTAAGTAATCTCGTTAAAATCAGAGTTACACTACAAAGCATCCATCCATCCATTTTAGTAACTGCTTATTCCCTAATGGGGTCGTGTGGGGACTGGAGCCTATCCTAGTAGTCAATGGGCAAGAGGCGGGGTACACCCCGGACGGTCATTACAGAGCATCATGTGGAAAAAATCTTGTCATATAGCTTGTGCTTAAATTTTCATCTCAGATTTGAAGAGTTCACACAGGAAAGATTTAGTGAAGCATAGCAGAATTAACTTTTTATGCTGTCCCTTTTCTTAGCGACGTTTAAGGTCAGCTATTACAGTGAGTGCTGCGTTCCAGCCCGGAGACCCCATCACTCCACCACCTAAAAAGACACGTGAAGATTACTGGCTGTTTACCCAACACATAGGTCAAGGCATATATAAGTACATATGAAAGACAACATCCCCCTCATTTTGTTATCAGCAGTTGTGAAGATAAGATTTCCAGGTTCATTATTTATGCTCTTCAAACAAACCATTACAGCACAAACCATTATACTTATTACTACACTATACACAACAAACTGAAAAGTTGGCAGTTTAATCTCCAACTGATTATGAAAGACAAACCTGGATGACAGCCGCTGCCACACAAATAGAGTCCTCTAATTGGTGAGCGGTAGTCTGAGAGACAGGGCAAAGGTCGAGCTAAGTAGAGCTGATCCATAGACATTGATCCATGGAAGATATTCTGTAAAAAAATAAATAAATTCAACACAAACTATTTTGCTTTAGACAAAGTACCCAAACAATTTTCTTCAGGCTGCTTCATAAAGACATATCTATGTAGAAATAACTTTAAAAACCCTTAAACCCTTTTGTTAAATATCAAAGAGCTGAAGTGAACTTTGATTCGGATAAGTGGGTTGTGGCAAAAGTGTCTGTAACCATTAACTGCTTATGCAACGCGCCGGTCTCCTGGCGCACTGTGAATGACTAAACACAGCAGAGGACGCAAATGACTTCCCCATCCACTGAACAAACGATTGTGTCAGGCAAATAAGCCGCATGTCCCCATTCAAATAGCTTCCATCTCTACAATGTCTACAGTGTGTAGTCTGTACCCCGCCGGTGAGTCCAAAGATCCTCTCCAGGTCTGGCGGTGACAGGATGTCTCTGCCCACCACTGACGCTTTGAATCCTGGGGCGTACTGCTCCACCCAATCAAACACTGCAGAGACAGACAATATAAACCCTTCAAATAATTTACTGACTTCCTAGAAAAACATTACAACCTCCTAAAATAGTAATTGTATTATTACAATCAGCCATTGCATAGTTATCAGTTTTTGTGCAGTGCCTGGTAGCTGTTCACTCTTTTACTTGAAACTGTAAGAAGCGTAACATTTGTGTGTCTAACCTGTGTCTGCAAAAGTTTCCCGGTCCAGGTCAGTCCACTCTCTGCCCTCTATGTGGTAGGGAGTGAACTGGGTAAACAGTGACACCACGTGGCAGCCAGGGGGAGCAAGAGTGGGATCTAGAGCAGATGGGATTGTCATCTCCAGCATTGGTCTACAAAAAGATGGAAAAACATGACTTGCTTACAATTTCAGATAAAACATCAGACAAGCCAGACAAATAAAAGCACATAAACACAGACACATCTTCTTCACACAGACAGTGGGAAGAAATGGAAAGACTATTGTGAGTTTACACATAAGAGCTGGTAGGGTCACCGCAGATGGAAACAGTGAAGATAATCAAAGCAGGAGGAACAGAAAAAACAGATTGATTCAATCAGGCAACAGAAAAGAAAGGTCACCTTTAATCAAGAAACATAAGACACACAGAGCAGCTAATAATATAACAAATACCATGAGAGCTTTCAAACTATGAAAAATGAGGTATATTCTGTGAATGATGGTAAACTGTACCTCGTTGAGGGACGTCCATTCCTGGCCTCATTATATGCGTGCTCTAGGATGTCCACACTTTCACAGTTTAGGTGGATTGAGCACTGATGGTGGGGTCCAGGTTTGTCATCCGGAGTGGGGGATGCTAGGAAGTTTGGTAACTTGTCTACTGCCACTGTGGAAACAGGGTCCAACAGAAAAAACAGGATCAGTTTGGTCGTCTGAGTTGTCCCCATCCAGTTTTACATACATTTTGTGCAAGAAATGCAGCACTAAAACACAATTCCTAATGTAAGGGGAAAAACGCTTTAAGCTGAAATTGGTTAGTCTGACTTTGGTCGGTTTAGTTAAAGAGTTGATCAAAGATTTAAAGATCTATATTCATGCAGTCTGCATGTTGCACAGTTTACCATCACTTTAATATTACAGTGTTATAAATCCAACTATTGACGATTAAACCATGAGGCATAATGCATCATTTCCAATGCGTTTGGTTCCTTATTCCATCTGATGAACTATGCACCTTTATGTTCAGTAAACAATCCCACCTGAACAAAAAGTAGAAATAAGAACTCCATTCCTCTGATGCACAGTGCGGCCTCTTTTCAAAACCCACTGCAAAAGGATTTTTTCCAGATGCCTCGGGCACATATGGGAGACCATGTTAACAAATACAGGAAATAGTATTTGAACACCCTTCAAAGATAAAGAAATGTATTCTCTTATGGATGACTCACATAAGAGAAACATCCCACACGGTTTCACGAGGCATGGAAGTAGATCAGAGGGCAAACAGCATGATGCCAAGCGCCTCACTAACACCTGATATAGACATTTACATCGTCTGGTTCCTCCTGGTGCCTGTGGATGTACTGGACAGCAACACTTAAGCAGATGAATAAACTTACCATTGATCTTAGTAACAGGTGAAGTGTAGTCTATTTGGTCTACAGCTTTGATGAAGTCTGGAGACAGGGACGACTACAGACAACAGAACACAAAACACACTTGACTGTCTGGCCTCTTTCTGTCTGTGATGCTGTTCGTCGGGGTTACCTGTGGCGTGAGGTTCTTGAAGGTAACATAGGGGGTAGCATTTGATAAAACCACTTCACTGTGGATCTCTGTTCCATCTGTTAGCACCACCCCCTGAGCTCCACCGTCTGAACCAACAAGGATCTGTTTTACATCCTGAAAAGGGAACATAAAATGCTGTATTGATCCCAGAAAACATTGAGCAGCAAATCAACAAAATCCAGGAAGGCCGGTTACCTTTTCAGTGAAAATGTCTACACCGTAGGATCGAGCAGCTTTGGCAATAGCCTGAGACACACCTCCCATGCCTCCTTCTACATAGCCCCATGCTCCCTTCTCCTTCTCCAGCTCTCCCATCACATGGTGTAGCAGAACATACCTTTAAGGCATAAGAATAGAAGCTGTGTTTTTCTTTAAGACGATCTGTGTTTAATTCCACACAGTTATACTTGTTATTGGGAATGTTCGACTGCTTTAATGAAGTGTAAAATGTGCCTCACCCACTACCAGGATTACTAGGGCTGGTCATGGCTCCTATCACACCATCTGTCGCCAGCGTTGCTCTCAGTGGCTCTGACTCAAACCACTTGCACAGAATCTTTGACACGGATCAGGATGTAGTCAACATACACCAACTTCAAAAAAGAAAAGACCTATGCTGGACTTTGTGTGTGCTGTAACAAACCTTCATTATCGGCGCAGTTATAATCTCATAAAAGTCTGGAAAGTTTCGGCCAAGTTTCAGACCTTTAAATTCAGAGTAAACAAAGCTCAAAACAGCTCAGATGAAATATGATCTAAAACTTTTGTTTTTCCCACGTAAACGTCCATCTGCATACCGCATTTGACGACAGGCATCAGTGTTTTAGCTGCAGCCAACCTCTTCCTCAGAGATCCAGCAGTGAAGCCTGGAATGTCTACAGGTGGATTGTCCAGTAGAGGGTGGATCGCACCTGCTAGTTTCTCAAGGTGTGCAATAAATTCCGGATAAGCCTGAGGGTATGTTACAGAAAGGATGACGACGTGGATGAATTCAGTTATGTGTGATGGTTAAAGACTAACAATGACCTTTGTGGTTTTCATGTAACAAATGCTTCAATATAATAATCAAATCACCTTAGCATCATTTAGTGAGAATTTGCCAATCTCATTCTGGTTCTTGACGAGGTCTGAGCCCAGGGTGAGGGATCGAGGCGGAGCACCTCTCACCCCCTCCTCCAACATGGGGGTGAAGGCATGGGGGTCTCTCATGTAGACTTTTAGCCCATGTTTCTGAATGCAAAGAAAGAGTTAAACAAGGGAAAGGCTTCTCACTGTCAGCACAGTTTATGAAATGCTCTTGATTGAATGGTTGGGCATACCTTTAGCTCTAGTTCTTTGTAAATGTGTGGTCGCAACAAACTGAGCAAGTAGGAACACCTGGAGAAATGATAACCTGCAAGCAAGAGAATTTTCATTTTTCAAATGAATATCAAAAATAAATGACAAATTGCCTATGTCTTTACATAGTTTCTTGCCATTACTTTACTATTAGATATAGCACTGTTATAATCTAGAGACCAGGCCTCTCTGTTTGTTCCTATGTACTGTAGATCTGTGATGGACAGGTGACCTGTCCAGGGAGTAGCCAACCTCTTGCAAGAACACCGGGTTCCAGGACAACGGATGGACAGATATAGTCTAATCTCATTTAAAACATACTCTTGCATTTGTTGGGAGTTATGCTTTTATGACCTGGATAGATCTACAAATGTTTGCCAATCATAGTGAATCTTACCAGGAACAATCTCCTCTGACACAGCTGCTCCTCCCAGCACATGTCTGCGCTCCAGCACAGCTGTTTTCACTCCTCCCTTCTGAAGATAGGCAGCCTAAACACACACACACACACACACACACACATATATTACCTTTACCCTGTTGTGAATCATATATCTACATATTGTACGGTAGGTGTTGGGAAACAAATGCATGAACTCACTGCCACCAGTCCATTGTGACCTGCAATAAAAACAGTAAAATATCAATTTCCCGAATCTGTCTTGTTGAATAATCCATAAAGACCCCAAGAACCTTTTCCCATTCCACATTTATATTAAATCTAAAGATTAAACTCTACTGTTTTGCCAGGTACTTCTTTAATAGCTCATTTTAATGAGTCCAAAGTTTCTAAGTTATGATCAAGGGGTGGTCAGTTAGTCACAGGTCCAGATCACTAAATTCAGTACAACATTCCTGTTTAGCTCTCACAAGGCCAGTGAGTTATGCAGTTTCTAAGCCTGCATGTCCAGCGAACTTGACTGAGACTGCCAGGCGCGCGGTAGTACAGCACAACCAAGGCTTCCCCCCCCCATTTTTTCCCCGTCTGTTTGATTTTGCACATCTATAAAGTTTTTTTTTAAACATAGTGTGCAGGTCTCACCTCCACCGATCACCAGCGCGTCATAACGCGTTTTTAAAGCGGTGTGATTCCACCTGGATCCAGTCACCGTCCCCAGAAGAGCAGCAGCTCTGCGTCCTCTGAGAGTCCACACCGCTGCAGCCATGGCAGGAGCTGGAGCTGGCGGCACACGGCGGTCCCGCCTCCTTTCTCCAAGTAAACTTGCGCAACTGACCAAAGTTTCACAGAGGGATCGAAAAGATCTTGACCTTACATTTCTGCGTAGTCTCTATATACTATTTACATCTGCAAACGCAAACAAAAACACATTCTATTAGGTCCTCTCATCAAGCCCTGTTCCACATCAGAAAATAGAAGAGAGACTGATGGAAGATCCGATCAGAATGTCGTTCTGATGTTATCCACCAGGGGGAGCAGTTACCCCATTTAACTGGCAACTAATTCAAACCTGATTGCAAACCCCCACTATCTGCCCCAGTGCCTCGGCATCCTGAAAAAATTGCCTTTATGGCAACAACTGCTCCACAGCCTTTGCATTAGTCCTTAAAACTCTCCCTTTTTAATTTTACAATGATTAAGTAATTCAATCAAAAAGAGAACTTCAAGGCAATTCTCTCTCAGCGCGTCCACGTTCGGAGCCGTAGACCTGAGGGCCCACCTTAAGAGCTTTACGATGGGCTCTTAACACAGAATGGTTTCTTAGTGCTGCTGTTGAAGATGTCAAGTTTCCCTCGTGGTTCATCTACTGTGCATTAATAACATAAGAGGCCGGAGATCACGCCGTGGACCATAAGCAGCATTGGTAGAAGACAGAAATGGAGACGGCGATGTCTTCTACAATGTCAGGAACTGAGAAAGTTAATTAGTCCAAAAACAACCAAAGACAGCAAAACCTAAGCTGGTTATCTTTTCATCCTGTCTCCATAATGTACATTTTTTCCCTTTGTTTTGCTTAGACAGTGTAAAACAATTCCTGAGGCTTGTATGGATTGCCCATACACCAGGTTGGAGGAATGAAATGGGGTGTTATGGTGATCTAGAGTTTCCTGCGAGACGTAAAATGCTTCTCCCTTGGTAAATTAGAACAGCATTAGTTTCAGGGAAGAGAAATGATCCTGATGTGCCCCCTGCTTGGTTTTCCTTAAAGGAGTGTCTGCGGGCAGTAGCCAATCAACTATAACTAGATCAGAAGATCTAGGCAGGAGATTTTGTTCTTGTAAGCAGAAATTAACACTTCATTCCCCTTTGTCGGCAGAAATTCAACACTGCAGCCCTTAAAGCCTCTCCTAGGCAATCAAGGATAAAATTCAATTACAATGTAGCAGCTCCGTATGAAACACAATTACCCCATTTTCATAAAAAAGTACCTCCAGGCAAAGAGGTTCACTGGTGAAGATGTTTATTGAATCACAAAGTACTTTCTCATAGCAGTCCGAAACAGGGGTCAGTGTCTGAAATGTAACTATGCTGGCCAAGAATTAGGCTGTTGTGAAAAACAAGTTTAAAACATTTAATCTTTTTCCTGACACTTCAGATTAGAGCAAAAAGGGTTTAGGATCTGGTCATAGGTCAGCTGGAAGCCTTCTGTATTGAACTGACATGGTCTCTCTTTTCCTGAGTGAATAAATGGGTGTCAAGTACCTTTCAGTGTCACTTGGGTATCATGAGATCTCACACGGGCAGCCTCAACTCTCCTTCATCCCAAAGGATAACGAATGTTAAACTGATATAAGAGTGATATGGTTGTGTCACTGTTCATGAGGATAAAAATGGGGGCCACAAATCGATTACATCAATATATCGAAAAGTATTTAATTTTTTTTTTACTGCAATATCACCAAAACATTTTTTAAACATCTGAAATCAGGAGCCAAAAGTTTTATGTTAAATAAAAAGTATAATCAGTCAAAATCTGGAAGACCTAACCCAACCAGATTAGGCAACCTGATAGTACTTCAAGTTGTAACACTGAGTATGCGTATACGTACACTGTATGCACATCTACTGAACATAATGAGAGGCAAAAATCCACCCTCAAAGTCTGAGAAATCGAAAATGATTCACACGAGCAAAAGTTGACAGTGGAAGTTACTGCTGTGTTCCACAGAGAAATGCAAACTATGCAACACTATGCAAAAAACCCTCAGCCACCATTTCTTTATATTTTGCTTCAGAGCAGTCATACTTTCTTATTTTCTTTTTTTACAGTGTTTTGAAACAGTCATTGTCCAAATTTGCTGAAAGATCTTGGATGTTAGATCACCTTTCTCTTATTTTCAGTACAGTGTTTGTATAGGACCATCTTCATTTGTTTGTTTTTAATCCTCTTAGTATGACACTTGGATAATCTGATCTTAAAAAAGACCAACTTAAAGAATTAATGTTGTGTTTGACAAAAAACTTTGCAGTAAAACTAATTTGAATAATGTGTCAACATAAAATGGTGTTTTTGTCCGAACAAGATTGTTGTTAAAAAAGTAGAAGCTAAATGTTTGACATGTCTCAACGTGGTGAGCTGTTAAGTACAAGTGGCAGGCCTGAAAAACCTTATACAACTAGTGTCCTTAGGATATGGGGGGGAAGCCCCAAAGCCCTGAAACCGGTAGTAAGAGATGCATTTGAACTGTCATTGTTCACTTAAGGCTCAACAGAAATGGTCGAAGATTGGCTATCAAGAAGCCATATTTAGGGAGAGTAAATGTGAAGAAATACCAAATGGAACAAGGAGTGGACAGGAAATGTGGCAAAAAGTGAACAACGGGACTTTATTTAATGTTTGATTCGTTTGCCTGAATGTCATGTAGTTTTTTTTTCTTTTTCCATTAGTTAAATCCTTTTGGCCTTTTTTCACAGATTAAATTAAGATTTTTTATATTTATGTCCACAAACATTTTTTTAAATGCTAGACAGAGTTCTAGCTCTGAAATGAGGATAGAAACTGGCTGAGTGCCTTTCAGAGAAAGCAAGGAAAAATCCAAGGGCAGGCGGAGTGAAAAAATATTGGTAACAAACACTAACCCAGAAATTCATAGCAGTCAAAAGAAAAATGAAAAATAGGTGATCAATGCTTAAAAGATAAGAATGAAACAGAAACTTCTGTCTAGTTTGACCAGGTTTCATTTTGTATTTTCTGATTCCAAAGGCCTTAGTATAGCTCTCCAAATAATAGTGTAACAATTCTATCTTAAAAGGAAGGAAATCATATTTTTCTACCAGACATGGTGCTACACAAAATACACATGTTCCATTTGATGTACACAAGTGATATAATGAGTCCACTAATGTCTTAATCTAGTATTAACAACTAAATGTATGATATTTTAACTGTCCAAGCACTTTGACCATTTCTGTTTAAACAGTTGTCTGTTTAATCTCATATTGATTAACAGCAGTCTTTTTAAAATCTATTTGAGGGGAGCTAATGAGTTCAATTTGGATTTCATAGACAACGGATCACACTACTATAGTCCATTGATAGAATAGTGATAACCTGAAGTGTTAACAAGTACAATTTAACACCTCATTGTTATTGTACGGCTATATGTAGCGTTACTTTTGGGCCGTTTAATTGCTTTTTTAATTGCTATTGCATATGTGACAATGCCCATTTCCATGTGGCAAGTTCTGAGGTTGACAATGACTCGAATCATGAGTGGCATGTCTATTATCCAATAACGTGAGTGGGACTTGGACTCACAACCAATGAGAGATTACTTCCGCATGGCAGGCTTGGGTGGGCCACGCTGTGCGTTACGGCCTCCCCGTGCTTGGTTCCGGATGAGAAGAGAAGAGGCGGGGACGGAGTGGTGACACAAGGAGGGAGATGTGAAGCAACCCCATGGGAATGTGAAACTTAAGGCCTGGAATCGTTAACAAGAAAGCGTGATCGCGAACCAAAAGACTCCACGTATTCCCTTGTATCTCATGGAAGCAGATGGATTTGTGAGGAGGCGTCGGATGACAGCGGAGACCACAGGCAATGATCCCGGGGTTGCAGGAGCGTCTGCGGGGGCAGAAGTTCGTTGGCTTGGTGGCAGATTCTGGGGAGTTTCTGAAAGTATCGTGGGAAGTCTGACACCTCGTATTGGAGGGGAAACAGAACTGCAAAATGTTAACTGTATCTGTAGTGCTCCGGACGCACAAACAGAGGACTCTGAACCGGACTACGAAGGCTTGCCACAGGGAGCTTCCACCAGCACCCACATGTTGGCTGGAGCCGTGGCTGGAATCATGGAGCACTGCCTCATGTTCCCTATCGACTGCGTTAAGGTAGCATAACTCAATGGCTAACCGGACTCGTTTCTTCTTATTGAGGGTGTCGAATGCGTCCACAGCTTGGTCTGTGCCGTGTTTTGTGGGTGTTGTTGTTATAGCCGTCATGCACGATAGCATAGCTAATTAGCTTTCGGGCTAACCTAAACAAGCGGCAGAGCAGGCTGTGAGGACAAGGTCAGTCAGCTCAGCTTACACTTAACAGCGTTAGCTAACATGTTAGCATGCCGTTCAAACTTAAGTGTGGAAAACATGCTGCTGGGAGTTTTAGTACATTAAGTTTTGTATGGTAAGCTAATGGTGTCACTTTGCGTGTAACCGTCTGGTCGGTCACCATCGACTCCGCTCTTTTCGTGTCCGAACTTCAGCGCATGTAATGTTACATAACAGACAGCGAGTTACCTACGGTGGCCCTGAAGTTCAAACCACCAAATAATGTTGTAAAACGCAAAGTCATTTAAAACTCCAAGTAGCACTAAACACAACTAAAATGAAGACACAATAAGTGTACACTTTAAAATGAATTCCACTACACATAGTTACAAAAATATTGAATAAAAATAAAAAAGATGGTTGAATAGAAGGTCAACAGAAATGCATTTCACATCAGTGAACAACTACAGAGTAAGTTTACCAAATCAATTAATTTTGATTGACAAGAATAAAATCCTAATGTTCAAACGACTGTCCTCCAAGAATGTACAGGCAGGGTCTGTAGGGTAATGGTGTTTCTGACAACGCACAACTTCAACCCACACAGGAATAAATTGCACCCCTTTCTCTCAACAAATGGTTTTCTGTAATTAACAGGCAAAAATCTCTAGCCACATTCCCAACAGCCGGTGTGATACCGAAATATGCAGCAAAGGTCGTTTGATTATAGGTCACGCACCTTCACTGGACCCGTTTTTTGTCACGGCTTCATCATGTGAATGTGTTCTAATTCTGGAGGCTTGACTTATTGCCTCAAGAGGCCAGAAGTTGTTATGGCCACACACTGGTTTCTAGTTTAATAAGAAGAGACTAAGGCGACTGGCTGAGTATTAATGAGTTAAATATAGTCTGAAATTCATGAAGGGCCAAACGCTGTTTGTGTGCTCATAATGGATCCAGGTCTTTCCTGCTTGTAATCCACCGCTACTGCAGCCCTGACTGTGGACCGGACTGACGTTGGCTGAGCCCGTTTTTTTTTAACAGTTTTGCTCCATTGTTAAGGCAGCATCTACAGAAATAATGTGACGCGATAAAGTGAAGTGAAATTAAGTGCACACTGACTCACAGCTCTAATGAGCCAAAACAAATGGAAAATTCAACCTGTAGGGGGAAATGTTTTGTGTGAAAAGTTATTATGACCAAAAAGTTAGTGGTTACTTTTTCTTCTTGTTGGGGGGCATAGCATTTAGATTTCTTTCTGAAGAAATTGTGTGGTCCTAGCTCTATATCCTAAGGTACTTCCATTGTTTTGTTGTAGATAGGAAAAAGCATGCTTCTCTTGTAAAAACAAAAAAGAAAAAAAGTTTGCTTTTGCTGAGCACAGGGTACTGTTTGCATTGAGCACAAAGGTCCCTGCCTTCACTTTAAGCCTATAGATAAACATGCAGACTTACAGCTAGTATGGCCTCTGTCATTTGTACGCATCAAACATTGTGAATGAACGAGTATCAGGGTACCCTTATGCAGCTGATGTACAGCGTGAGTTTGTCCTTTCAACTGGAAACTTGGCATTCAGGGATTATGACGCGACCGGTTCCTCCGATAGACTCACTGACCTACTCCATCCCCGTACAACCCTCTCTAAATATTAAATAGCATGCAAACGAAACAGCGTTCCTTGACACTTTTCTTTTTGGTGATGTTTATGCATTTTTTCAATTTACCTTTCTGTGGGTGTGTGTGTTCTGAGGAAGAGAGGTTCAGGGTCATTGGGAAAAGAGGATTAAGAGGAAGTCAGCTTACGTCCCCTTGTGACCCTGGAGCTTGTAACTGCACACTTCCTTCTATTCAGGCATTCATGTTCAACAACAGACCACACCCAGTGTCGAACACCTCATTTCCCGCATTTGACCCCGGTTTACTCTGCTCCTGTGCTTCTTGCATTGCCATGGGAAAACGGGCAGCAATGTGAATTACACATTCAGCTTTTTTTGGAGGTCAATCTAGGGTCAGCTCAATTCAATGTAGTTCAAAGTGTGGTTGTAATGCAATACTGGCTAAGATTGTTGATTCCTTACACTCCAGCGTTCGGTCTTTTCCAGACACGAATGCAGAGCCTCCAGCCCGACCCCGCTGCCCGCTACAGGAATGTGATGGATGCTCTCCGCCGAATCATTGCCACAGAGGGAGTCTGGCGCCCGTTGAGAGGCTTAAATGCAACTGCAATTGGGGCAGGACCTGCTCATGCGCTCTACTTTGCCAGCTATGAGAAACTCAAAAAGACTCTAAGTGATGTGATTCATCCAGGGGCAAACAGTCATTTGGCTAATGGTACCACAAAAAACACACACTTATATATGTATATATACATATATATAGATATGTATATACAGCATCGACCATAAATATGCTAATTCTAGTCTTGTTAGAATTAGAGATATCCTCTGTTAGCTCAGTGAAGCTACTGACTAGGCTTAATTATTTACAAAAAAATAAACAAAACTTGGCTCGCCATCAAATGTTACAGAACCTTTTTGTAATTGCTGCTGTATACTGCTGTGACAGCTCTGTTTGTGATCAAAACAATTTGTCCCATTTGGCTCAAGCTCAGCTTCAAAATTGAAAGGGATTTCAGCAAAGATACAGTTTGAAAGCCTTGGTCCCACGTACTGTTGCTGTCTTGTTATCCCTGCTCTCTCTCCTCTCTCTCTTCCAGTTTAGTGGGAGGCTGGGTAAGTCCTCTTTCTCCCATATCATCAGCTCATTCCCTTGTTTTTGGAGGTCTAGCGTTTGCTTTTTGAGCTTTGTCCACTAGATGTCTCTCACTGCTTAGCTTTGGCCTTCTGAAAGGAGAGATACTTTGTTACCTATTCAGCATCCACCAGCTCATTATAATGCTTTGAAGAGGACATATGAGGCCTTTTTGAAGCGGGGAGCGACCCCAGTCGGCTGCCTGTTCTGGTGTCCTTGTTTGTCCCGGTATTGTGTGGTAACTGGTGAGACGTGTTTGTTTCAGGGGCAGCTGGTTGCGTGGCCACGTTTCTTCACGATGCAGCCATGAACCCAGCCGAAGGTAAGGGCCACTCGTTTCCAGCGCACCAGTCGGGGCTAGAAAGGGGGCATGCATGTGACCAAACAACAGGTTTGAGTTTCAGGGAAGCCGCTCGCAGGTGGCAGGCCCGGCTAAGCTATCCTCACGCGGTGGCTGCAAACCCGTAGTGTCAGGCCCACATTTCCCCAGCTGTCTGCGGTCCGCCTGTTCAGACATGTCACGGGAAGGACACTGGCCCGATTCCTCTAGTGCAGCTGTTCGGCCGAGTGCAGCTGTCTGAGCAAACGCCACCTCAATAATGCGGTGTTTCCATATGCTTACATGTTCGTTACAGGAAGGCTTTGCTTCAGATGACAAATCCCTTCTTCTTTTTTTTCTTCTTTCATGTTTTCCACCTTCCTGATATCACCCCTGGACACTTCTGCTCCTGTCTGGCGTTGTCCCTTTCTCCCCTCTCCCGACCCCAGTGGTGAAGCAGCGCATGCAGATGTATAACTCGCCCTACGTGCGCGTGTTGGACTGTGTACGCGCCATCTGGCAGAAAGAGGGCCCGGCCGCGTTCTACCGCAGCTACACCACGCAGCTCACCATGAACGTGCCCTTCCAGGCGCTCCACTTCATGACCTACGAGTACCTCCAGGAGCTGCTCAACCCCCACAGACAGTACAACCCCTCGTCCCACATGCTGTCCGGAGCCCTGGCCGGGGCCGTGGCGGCAGCCGCCACCACCCCCCTGGACGTCTGCAAGACCCTGCTCAACACCCAGGAGTCCGTAGCCGTCGGCTCCCCCGGGCAAAGCCAAGGAGCCCATAGACGAATCTCAGGCTTGTCCCACGCCTTCCGGACGGTTTACAGGCTGGGCGGCCTGCAGGGCTTCTTCAAGGGGGTTCAAGCGAGGGTCATCTATCAGATGCCCTCCACAGCCATCAGCTGGTCGGTCTACGAGTTCTTCAAGTATGGACTAACCAAGCACCAGCATGACAAGAGGAGAGCGCAGCACTCGGAGGCTGAGTCGTAGACATCTCGCGGGTTCAATCTCCTCTAATGTTGTCCTGCTCCTCTTCGTGAGGACGAATTAATACGCACATAGAATCCGACTAAAGTATGCCTCAGTGGGCCCAACCCCTTTCAGACATAACAGATAAGAAAGACACCTTCAAGGGTTAGCTGTGTCTCAGATATGAGAAAGCCCTCTCACAGTATTATGGTCTGGTGATATAAATGATTTTGGAAAGCTTTTGAAGTGGTCACTGTTTGTCCAAGCTGAGCGGGAAGAGCAGAGGTGGCCAGCAGGGGGCAGACGTGTTACCCTGTCTACTTATTGTGGTTTTGAACGCTTGGCTGCCTTCGGAGCTGATGTTTGGTTCCACAGAGTCACACTTTGCAAGTAAGAATGAGGACAGACTCCAGATTTCACCCAACACAGAGACCTCTCAGTCCGGCTTTCTGTTGGGTTGTAAAGCGTTTTAACCTTTTGGCATCCAAGAAATTTCAACTGAAAGTAGTTTTGTTGTTTTCTTTCATAGATTTGCGACTTAATCGGTGTCTATATAGGTTAAGATGAAATTCAAGTCAAAATCAGCTAAAATGGTATTTGAAATATTATCCATTGGAATGTGCTTTCACTGGCCAGAACATTGATGCTTGTAGAATCCCCCTTTTGATTAGCTTTGGCCATAATTAGAAAGAGATTTTAGTAATATATTTTTTCCCTCATGGAACTATTAGAACATTTCCCATTAAATGATCCAACGGCAAAATGTAAAGTAATTGGTGTCCAATTTTTTTTTCTTTAAATCAAAGTTGTTTTTTTCCCCTCATCCTTGCAAGGACTTCTAAGGTGGCATCATCTGTCTGTTTCCGACTTGTGACTTAGTGAGTTTGTGTGTTTGAGGTCAGGACAGGATGTGCGCAAACTGCGATCAAAAGAAAAGTGATTCCCATTGGTCTGATATCCCCCAGTGAATATCTGAACCAGCACATAGAACACATTCATGGAAGCTGTCGTTCTTACTGATTGATGTCTGATTGTTTCTGACACTGAATTGCACTTGTTGAATAAAGAGTCTGCAGTGGGGCCCTGTTCTCTGCTCATGAAAGATGGAAACTGTGCTTTCATGTGTCTTAACATTTGAGTGTTTCTTGCAACACCAAGATGTGCAAGTGAGGCATTTTAAACACATCTAACTAAGATTTACACCTTTTTTTTTTTCAAATGACTGCATGACTGATTGTCACAAATACAGTCAGTAAAACCTACTAGTTTTTGTGGGGGTTTTATGTTTGTTTTACATGAACAGTTTTTTTAGTTTTGGGCACAGGTGGAGATTTAAACTTTGACCCTCAAGATTGCAAATTCAAGATGAACTTGTGGGTATGCAGCCTGCAAACAAACAAGTGTGCAAAGCTGTATAATTCAGAAACTGATGCAGCACAAAGTATACTCTGATAAGAAAACTGGTGGATGTGGATGAACTGGAAAAGTTAAGACTTGACAGCTCAAAACTAAAATATGCTGTTAAGTGAGAGAAATTCTATAAGTTGTATTAAAATAAGATCAACTTATTTCAGATCTAAACTAGAAATGCATGTGTGAATAAAAAAGTAAATTGACTCCTGGAAACCTCATCTGAGTAACTCAGAAGTTTCTTAAAATGAACTGATAGGTTTCTCTCCGGAAATTGGTACTTTGACCAGAATTGGCTCTGTTTGTGCAAAGTCAGATGGTCTTTTTGACATGCTCACAGAATTGCTCTGTATTGGAGAAATGTGAAACAAACCAAAGTCCTTTTACCGGCATACATTAAGTGGATTTGTGAGTTTAAGAGAAGCTGTCTTAATGCTCTTACAGATTAGAGTGAGGAGTGACAACTCCCCACCCCATCGTCTGCACACACACCCACTCACATCCATGCCTGTCAGGCAGGCACCTGTTCAAACAGGGAGAGTTAATGAACTGTCTCTGTCGCTCACTCTCTCCCACTATCTGTGCACGCATGTACAGTGTACAGTATGTGTGGTCTGAAGTCGTTTTCAGAGGTGTGGAGCTGTTTAGTTGCTCACCCCTTAGAACTGAACCTCACCAAAAAAAATTAAATCAAGCCATAGACACCAGGAGGTGAATTCATTTTTCTCGTTTGGTTAAAGCATGAGCAGGGCGAGAGGTATTCATTGTTTGGTCTGGTCATTAATGGCTCATTCTGATTGTGGGAAAGCAAAATTGGGATACAGGAATAAAAGACAGTAAACTGGAATGAAGAATGGAGAGACTGATTTTGGAATTTCTCTCCCTTGAATAAAGAAATAGACATTTAGAAAGCATCGTTCAAAGGCAGGATGGAGAAGGAAGCATGCCCAATAAGTAATTTATAAGCACAAAGCTTTAGAAAACATTCAACAATACGTTTCAGAACACTTTTTTAAAGAGTCAAAGTGGAATTACATTCCTGGACTGTCATTTTTGCTGATTCTTAAAGGAAGACAAGGCATTGTTTGAAAAATTGTCTCTTTGCATGAAACAAGGTGTCACAGAGAATCTTGTCTGTGTGCATGTGGCTACCTGTCACCTGGGAAGAGGTGATTGCTATCAGATGGTACAGATGTTTGGTAAATGTACCAGTGAGAAAATGACAGATTTAAACTATAAAACTAAAGAAAACTTAATAATAGGGGGTTATAATGGGAATATTGTATCATTTTCAAGCCCTGTAGAGTACAGAAAAATATTTAGATTCCCCTTCAGTTTACTTTCGTTTAATTTAATATGCTTCTATTGCAAAAGAAAAAATGAAATGTATTCAGTACTTAGCCGCAAATCTGTGCGAATGGCTCCTCACCAACTCCTGCCTCTTTAAGGTACTCCTACCAAACAGATCCAGTCAGATCTGGTTGAAAGGTATGTGTTGCCTCTTTGTTTGAGGCATGCACAATATCGAAAAGGTAGGTATGAGGCACTAGTATCTCATGGTGATGCACTGTTGATGAAAGATGAGCTTGCATGCTAAGTGAAGCATTTCAGGCAGTTCAGGTCCGACAGCAAACTTTTATTGGTGTGAAATAAGGACTTTATATCTTTCTGTACATTAACTGTGTAAAACAGAGAAAAGGAGAAACAGAATGAAAAGAATGATATATCAGACAGATGTGTGCAGAAGTCAGAAACCGGATAAAAATGACAAAAGATCCCACCTGCTGTTGGCCAGCAGGTGGAGAATCAGTGAAGTTGAGTGCAGTGTCAGCTTATTTTCTTATCATCACATTCTCCTCCAAATACTCTTCAGAGTCTTTTAACTAGTAATCATCTTATCATTGATAAGTAAAGAATCCTCACACGTTGGGAGTCACGTCATGAATGTTAAATGTTCATACGTTCAAGCCTGATGTACAGAGGTCCTTAGCAAGATTCTCACAGTTGCATGTCTTCTCTACTCCCTCTCCATATTTATAGGACGTTCGCTGTTTCTCTTCTCAGATCTCTCTTCATAATTTAAGCCAAACGCTGACTTGACCACTCAGCATGAATAACAAAGTTCTACAGGATTATGACATAATATGAATTATTCAACCCCAGCAGAGAGCTAACAGATGAGCTGTGATTATGGAGTCTTCTCCTAACACTCTTGGGTGCACTCGTACAGACACATACAGGTTGTGATCTCCTCGGGGTGCTGCAAGATAAAAGAGCTGTTGCCTCAATCCCTTTGGCCGCTGTGGTGTCTTCTTCTGAAAGCAGATCTAAGAGGATGAGAGTAGAAATATATATTATTGGTACAACATAAAAACTTAAAAACTATAAAACATTGATTTAGAACATTAACATTTGGATGAGTGTTTGAAAAGCAGCAGTGCAGTGGAGCTACAGAACAATGACCAACGCTTTTCATGATTCAAACTGCATGGTTAAGATTAGAAAAATGGGCTGACACATATTTCAGTTCAAGGTTACGTTTCAGTCATGTCACACGACAGCTGCCTAAGAAACGGCCCTGGGAAAAACTTTCCCATGTCCCCGTCTACAGCCATAGATCACAACATTGTGCTATGATAGTGTTAAAAAAAATACATTACACAATTCTATATAAAACAGGGTGGACGCATTTAAATGTGGTCCACATTCTGTCCTCTCTTCTTTTAATAGTACTCAGAAAAGTATTTTTTTAATAAAATTTTCAATGTCAGAGATTTGACTAATTGTTCTTGGCTGTTTTTTGTTAACCCAGACATGACACCAAAGGGGGCAACGTCAGACTGAATTATGAAGCACAGGGTAATGTGAATTCCTGATAAGGGAAAATCAGCCGAAGAAATGCAGAGATTAAGAAGTTCCCGTGCTGGTCACGGCTTGAGGTTTTCTCATGGCGTTGCGCTGTAGAGAACTAGGGGGAGATGCAGCTTCTGTCATCGCTTAAGAGAACCAGTTGGAGGAGGGTTCCTCCCACCGCTGACAATGGTAGAAGATGATCACGAACACACAATCAAATATCACCTCCAAACAGGCACTCTTACACAGGCATTCAACTGTGTAAAAACAACAACCAAAGATAAATCACATTTCTCTTCAGTTGAATCTGTATGTGATGCCAAGACATGGGACGATCTCCGGAGGTTTGAATCTGACTTAATCTAATTTATGAAGCTGCATGTTATTTTGAAATCATCAGGGTCCTCACTTCTCACGCAATAAAAGAATACCACGCAAGACTTGCGGTGAATGGAAAGCTCCTTGATATATCTGAGTGTTTACAGTAAAATGCCATTGCTAATGGGCCATAAAATGGCAAGATGCCCCAACAAGAAGAGAACTGATAGTTTCAGATGATCTGACAAAGGTAACGTGCTGAAAAAAGTTCAAGAGTGGGAGGCTTTGTGTAATACCCAGACAGAGTGTAAGAGTAAAGATTGAAATGTATTTGTTGCCTTAGGAGGGATATCCAATTGGAAGCTAACTCTGCCATGTTACTTTCATGTTCAAAGGAAATTCCTCATACACACAAGCGTCCACACACACACACACCCTTG